AAAGCTAGTTGAATCTTTGCCTAAAGCAGCAGTTCTCAATCTGTGGGTCGCGACCCTTTGGGGGTCGAACGACCCTTTCACAGGGGTTGCCTAAGACCATCGGAAAACACATATATAATTACATATTTTTTGTGATTAATCACTACGCTTTAATTATGTTCAATTTGTAACAATGAAAATACATCCTGCATATCAGATATTTACATTATGATTCATAACAGTAGCAAAATTACAGTTATGAAGTAGCAACGAAAATAATTTTATGGTTGGGGGGTCTCCACAACATGAGGAACTGTATCAAAGGGTCGCGGCATTAGGAAGGTTGAGAACCACTGGTAAAGGATCCCAAATGGACAGGTGGAAGTTTCAAATTCTTAAGTCAATTGTCCCATCAGTTTGTTCCTTTGCACCTCCCCTGCCACTGAGTACTCATCAGTTAGGATCTAATCAGAAAAACAGAAACACACTAGGTAGTTCAAAAGGAGGTTTACTACAGAGAATTCATTTCTGAGCTTTTAGGATGACTATAAGAACTAATGTGGAACAGCAAATTAATCCAGAAACAACTATAAAAGGCAGCTACCACTTACAGGGAAGAGGTGGGATGACCAAAACCTAGAAACTTGGAGGAAATGTCCCTAGTGGGTTGCTGCTCTGCCTTTGATTTTCCTATGACTGTCTAGGAAGGCTTCATGGAAAAAAGTGATGGCTGAGATGGGTGTTTTGAAAGATGAGTCAAGTTTAGCAGGCATAATCTATTCAACCCATATGACTAATGTTTCCACATTATTATAGGCCTGGTCATTTAGAGATAGCTATGGGGCCTACCACTTTTTAAACAACACATCAAAAGCATTTAGTAAATATGTCAAAATGTGGGTGCTGTAATGTGGCCAAAATAAAACTAGAAAGATTAAAAGCAATCCTTTCCTACTTCAAATACTATCTGATAAGTTTCTCTAACCAGAACAGCACACATTTATCAGGTGAACAACACATAAACACAGGTGTCATCATCCTGAGGAAGGTAATCAAGAACCCTTGTGCCCTAACTGGTTTGGCTCAGTGGATAGAGCGTCGGCCTGCAGACTGAAGGGTCCCAGGTTCCATTCTGGTCAAGGGCATGTACTTTGGTTGTGGGCACATCCCAGTGGGAGGTGTGCAGGAGGCAGCTGATCGATGTTTCTAGCTCTCTATCCCTCTCCTTCCTCTCTGTAAAAAATCAATAAAATATATTAAAAAAAAAAAAAAACCCTTGTAACACGGATCTACTTTGCTACTTAGTGATATTGCTGGAGCAGGGCAATATCATACTCATTTACTGACAAGTATTTGAGTCACGTCTAAATGCACTTTCCTCTTTCCCTCTTTTTCTAGAGTTGTCCTTATTTTCCACAATGTACAAGGCAATTTTTCCAAAGTTTGGGAAAAGGTATTTGCACACTAAAGGAAAGTGGGCGGTAGTGAGGACAAAGCACAAGAAGGACTCCTTAGGATCAGAGAAGGATGTAGCAAAGAATTTGCTGGTACGAGGAACTAATTTGGGGGTATGTAGACAGATTGGAGTGTAGAAATTGATGCAGTAATTATGAAGAGGGGATTGGGATGGTTAGGTAAAACTGCAGGAGTGTGGCTGAGAAGCAGCTGTGCAGGCAAAGAATACACACAGATATACTTTGAAGTATAGTTGCAAAAATAGAGGTACAAAAATATCTCAGGTTTGGCCAAGTGAAGAATGAAGAAAATCATGAAAAAAGTGAGCTGGAGATGCAGTGAGGAGGAGGCAATGAAATGAAAATAAGCTGATAATTTTAATTTTAAAATTCCCCAACTCTACCAACAGTTCTAACACCAGGTCCTCTGAAGTGACTGCTAATGCAAAAAGGCAGTGGGACTCAAACCTCAACCCTGTGATCCTCGTAAGACAGACTTGAAATAAAGAAAAACTTAAAAGATTGCAGACTAGGCTTTTCCTCTAACTTGACAGGAGATTCAAAGTGCAGAGCAGATGAAAAAATGGAAAGAGAGGCTTCAGAAAAAGTATTATTCTACAGAAATTCAAGATGACTACCAGCCTGTCACTCAACAAGAATTTAGAGAGTAAGTATTTGTTCTCACCAGGGTACGATGGGATTATCATGACATGGGTGTTGGGGACATGAGTTACACACTTTATTTTCCCGAACCCAAAACCTCTTCTGCTAAGATGTCACTTATTTTTCCAATTGTTTTTATCCAATTTTAAAGTTAAACAGAAAGCGCAAGCCTTCTCTTGTTTAAATGTAGGAGTGAGACCAACTGCTTTTTATCCTTGCTTCTCTAAAAAGGAACTGCCATTTATACTTGATATGGGTAGCAGATACTGTTCATTCTCCACACAGCTTTAGATTAGATGCATAACTGACCATACCAGGCATATTTTAGTTCAAATAATCCCTTACCACTCAAAGCACTTTACAACAGGCACAAATAATCTGCTATCTCTTTTATGCACAAAAGTGTGTTACTGATTCATTCTCTACTTCCTTCTAAATTATCTCGTAGCCTCTTTTTATATGCCGTGGAGCTGGAGAAAGAATTACACTACATCAGTTTAAAATTAAACCGAGTGATGAGAAAAGTTTCAGCTCTATCCTACTGAGACAAGTGGAGGTGAGAATCTGTGATGCAATCATTGTACATTTCTAACAAAGATTCATTTCTGTATTGAATTATTTCTTAAACTTGTCCCCATTTCCGATATACTTTAAAAGCACTAAACCACCTATCATCAAACTATTGCCAGAGTCAATGATAATCATCAAATGATATCTGGGACTTAAGTGCCCCTGGATGGGACCCACTGTACAATCATGTATATTACAACATGCCTCCAAAGTATATATATACTGGTTCACACAGAGGACTTTATAATGTTATTATTAAACTACAGGCCCGGTGCACAAAAATTTGTGCACTCAGGGGGGCGGGGGGGGGGGGGGTCCCTCAGCCCGGCCTGTGCCCTCTTGCAGTCTGGGACCCCTCGGGGGATGACCACCTGCTGGCTTAGGCCTGCTCCCCTAAGATGGCAATCAGACATCCCTCTGGCAGCCCTCGGGGGATGTCCACTTGCCAGTGGGGAGCAGACCTAAGATGCAGTTGGGCATCCTTAGTGCTGCTGAGGAGGCAGGAGAGGCTCCCACAACCACCGCTGTACTGGCAGCCATCAGCCTGGCTTGTGGCTGAGCAGAGCTCCCCCATGTGGGAGCGCACTGACCACCAGAGGGCAGCTCCTGCATTGAGTGTCTGCCCCCTGGTGGTCAGTGTGTGTCATAGTGACCAGTCGTTCCGTCTTTCTGCTGTTACGGTCAGTTTGCATATTACCCTTTTACTATATAGGATAGAGGGCTGGTGCATGGGTGGGGGCCAGCTGGTTTGCCCTGAAGGGTGTCTCAGATCAGGGTGGGGGTCCCACTGGGGTGCCTGGCCAGCCTGGATGAGGGGCTGATGGCTGTTTTCAGACTGGGCACACCCCCTTTAGGGTGGGGGTCCCCACTGGGGTGCCTGGCCAGTCTGGGTGAGGGGCTGAGGGACGTTTTCAGGCTGGCCAGCGACTGAAGCTCCCAGCCTCTCCTTTTTTTCTTTCTTTTTTTTAATATTCTGAGATTTATTTACCCTCTATAATTGAAACATTGTTGCTGTCACTGGTGCTCCCAGCTCTGAGGCCACTGCTGGCTGAAAGCAGGTATCTGGGGTTTGTTTAGCTTCTATAATTGAAACATTGTTGCTTTCGGGCTCAGAGCCAGGCCGCGGCAGGCCGGGAACCTTGGCTTCCTCCATCACTGGAGCAAGCAAGCCTCCCGCTTGCTTCAGCTGCGTGGCTGCCGGCCACCATCTTTGTTGGCAGTTAATTTGCATATCGCCCTGATTAGCCAATGGGAAGCGTAGCGGAGGTACGGTTAATTACCCTTTTTGTCTTTTATTAGATAGGATTCTATGAATGTGAAGGGAAAAGTACAAAATAATGCTGCTTACAGTTCATGGTGGAGGTCTCTACTTAATAGCTCAGTAAGTAGGTAAAGATGATTTTTCTCTTTTTTTTTATGATGATTTTTCAATGTTCCACGAACTGTAAAAACCACTGGTGCTCTCATCATGTACCAGGAACCAGATAATAAATGCATAGGCCTCTGCAAAGCCATCACACAATGACTCAGGTAAAATAATCTCTCATCTCCATTCTTCCAATTTGAAGTCTCCTATAAAAAGCTAAAGTGTTAAAGAATAAACTTTCTAACCACTTACAGAAATTTCACTAATACCTTCAAACTAGAAACTCATTTAAACGGTTTCTATAGCAACATCTAAAGTTTCCCAAAAGTGCTTCCTCAACTACTTTAGAAAGCAAAATACACTTTAAAAAATAAAGAGCAAAGTAGGAGTATCAGGGTTATAAAAAGTCATGTTTGAAAAGTGTAAATGAAGGTACTCCCAAAGCCCTGTTTGGATGGTTGGAAAGTTATGTGTGGCTGGCATTTAGGAAACTCTTCTAATTTTTTTTTTAGGTTACATAAATCCTCCTAGAAAAACCTTTTGTTCTCTTAGCCCAAGCAACAGCATTTGACCATAGTACTCAACTTCCACATTGCTGCTCAATAGTCCCTGGATTTTAAATCTGAATAAAGGACATTTTAAATCTACCCACATTCCTCGGGCCAAGCTCACCACATTTTCTTAATAGATAATTCACTGCAACAAGAAATGCTTACTATTCTCTCTGCATCTTCTCCCTACATTCCCACAAGGGAATCAACAACATGCCTTTCCCTGTTTTACCACTTCCCAGAGCTGTAACCAGCCAGATAGTTTACTAACCCTATTGTCCCCCCATATGATACCGGGTTAGGGTAATTCAAAGCCTCAGAACATTAAGACAAGGGAACACTTGAGGTCTCTCTTTTTCACTTTTCAACATCTAGTGGGGGTGGAGGTGGGGGGAAGCAAACAACATTTGCAATGACTTAGAACATCAAAGTTCTTTTATTACAAAAGTCTATACAATGAAGTGCCAGACATCAATGCAATTATACGGGTAGTCATGTATATATCTATATATTGTTTATATATAGATATTCAGTTTTAACTTATACCAAAGTAAAACTATCACAAACTGCCTTATTCTACCACCTACAGCTCAACTATGACACACAATATTGTCACACAGCGTAAGTGCTGCCATGCCACTTTTATCTATTCTATTCACAGCCAAACAGTAACAGTGAATAACCAATATCATGAAGCAGCTGTTAATTTTAAAATGAAACCAGTCAGGCCACTGACTTATAAAAATATGGTACTCATATAGATTTAGCATTACAAAGAAGGAATATATTATTTAAAACATTTAAATAGTGCATATGGACATTTTTGCATGTGGTATATAAAATAAAACATTCATATAAAACAATATACAGTGCACATTAAATGTTTGTATATACTCCTGCCTGGAGAGTGATAGAAATTAACTAAATGCACACTGCATGATGGATTCAAATCAAAGTGATCTTTTGGCATTCTCAATTTCATTTTTCTAGGTATACATTATGAATGACCTAGCTGCATCAAAAGAAAGGACATGCAAAGGGCAGAATTTAGTGCTGTACTCCTTAACTACATGTTCACTACCAATGAATATTCCCTCCCTGCAAAAAAGACATTGCACACACAGGTGAAATATGAAGCACTAGAAATACTACTTATTATCAAGCTACTTCATGGGCTTACTATGCAATAGTGCCAGAAGACTGAGGTTCATGCTTCCTCATCTTATTAAAGGATGTTGCAAAAGTCCATTTTTGTATGGAACAAATTGTTAATATTAACTAGTTAAGAAAACCAAGCACGAGTCATTACATGCAAAACATGGGCACAATCAAAGTAAAACACTCATCATTCCAAAAAAGCACCGGAAAAAAATGAACACTTGGATTGAGCCTGACCAGAATATGCTATTAATGACAGTTACATTGTTAACACAAATAAAGTCACCGTTCTGTGAAAATGATTAGCAGAATCATACCTCGTGAGTACTCAAAGAAAAAGCCATGCAAAGCCAAAGAAAACAAGATATACTTAGAGTATATAACAAGGGGCACACCACTACATATCTTGTGACCAGCGCTTTAAACACCATGTGACTGAGCAAAAAGTGGTCCCTTTAAAAGATGTTTTCTTTATGGATTTTGCTGATTAAGAGAAAAAAAGGATGCAACCTCCTAAAGGTACATGTAAAAATGCAGTGGTATAGCCCTTGTTAAGAACAGATTTACTTCAGGCATAATGATTCTTTTGCCAATTTCGGCCTATTTAATTGAAATCACAAATCTGAGTACCATCCGAGTTCCTACATACTGACATGGCTCTTTACTCATATTATCTGGAGGTCAGTGGGGAGAAAATATGGAGGATCTGATCCAGACAAATCACATCATCACCAGTTGATGAACAGTAGCTGAGAAAACAAATAGTAATTTAAGTCCCATAGGCAGCATGTGGTATGATTCAGTTCTGTGTTTTCACTATACGAATAAGCAAGGTCACTTTTTGGTCTAACCTCTCTTATCTTGATCCAGGAGCTGTGTGACCACTGAACTGCAAAATTTTGTTAACATACTACCTGTGAAAAAGTGTTGCTTTGGGAATTAAACAGAAATGTGTTCCACAGTAGGACTTGAAATTTCAGTTGATTTTAGTTTTCGAAGAAAACATAGAACATGGAGCATATGTGCACATTTATATGCTTTTCTTTCAAATTTTCAGTCATTGTGTAAGAAAAAGGCAACCAAAGAATTCAATGTGAAGATTTTCCTCTTAATTTTCTTCCGTAATGAAAAAAACAATGAAGTTGGTAGTAACAAAAAGCTTGTACTTCCAAAGTCCTTGAGGTTGAAAGGATAAAATACTAGTCTTTTCTAATAGGATGTATCTGTAGTACAAAACAATGAAGAAAACGGGATGTTTGTTAAAGGTGGAGAGAACAGTCTGTGGTTAATATGGAACATTGTGCTCCCTAGAGAGGGTCTACTTACCCTCCCCCCATCATTTCTCTAGTGGCACCACAACCAAATTACAAAATGAGATTCTGAGTGCCTGACAAAAAGTACCAGCCAAGTACACACGATGATAATTTTAGGGAATACAACTGATTTTATGATGTTTCAAGCATTTTTATATGGATTTTGAAGAATCTTGCTTGCTGATAAGAACTTCAAGAAGCCTAAGCTTGGCTTTAATTTTCTTGTACTCCCTGTACTCCTCAAGTACTGGAACACGATCCTCTTTCTGGGCATTCCTAGGGGAGAAAATAAAACGTGTAATATTCTAGAGATCATCTGGAAAATAAAGTCCCAGAGTTATCCTAATGTGAGACAATGTTACCAAATATAAATTTAAATAAAAAATTGCTCTGTAAGGAAAAAATATTATTGGATTAATTCCCTCCCCCCCCCGTCCCCAAAGTACATTCCTGAAATATTTCTATTTCTGATGGATTTTTTTCTATTGATACATTAAATGATACTATACTTAGCAATGATAATTGTAAATAACTAGAGGTAATCTTTTACTTTTATTTTTTATAGGTAAAATTTTAATAAGACATACACTGCTAGACTCTGTCAGGTCTGTGAGTGTACATATTAAGTGCCAGAGGGCTATAATGAGTCATTTCAGACATTAACTCTGGCTTCAGTGAATTGAAATGTAAAAGCAAAACATCTTACTTATAGTAGCAAATAAGTAGTCTCCTAACTTTATATCCTATATAATAAAAGCCTAATATGCTAAGTGTCTGGTCACCTGTTCAACCAATCAAAGCGTAATATGCTAATGATATGCTAAGGCCACTCAACCACCTGCTATGACGTGCACTGACCACCAGGGAGCAGATGCTGTGACCAGTAGGTTAGCTTGTCAAGTAAGATGGGCCGGACACGCCCTGGAGTCCTCCCATGACCCCTCCCTGGCTGGCCAACCTCCCGCGTCCCTCCCCGGCTCTAATTGTGCACCAGTGGGGTCACTTGGCCTGGCCTGCGCCCTCTCGCATTCCGGGACCTCTTGGGGGATGTTAGAGAGCGGTTTCGGCCCAATCTCACAGGCCAGGCCGAGGGACACCACTGGTGCATGAATTTGTGTGTCTGGCCTCTAGTTATTAATGACCCAATACAATCCACTTTAATCACTAGGTAAAGCACTAGGTATAATAATTATAAGCAAAGTTTCTTCCAATAAGACAAAGTACTTGGAAAATTCATTCTTGTACTTGAGATTTTTTAAAACTATTTTTGCTAACCTATATAGATAACTCTCAAATTATTTAAAGTAAAAACATTTTAGAATTTGTAATATACCCATTGGCTGGTAAGATCACCATAACATGGTAAGACTTTTCTGAGACCTGAGATAGCCCGCATTTCTGGCTACCATTTGAATTAGAATGTATTTTTCTTACTCAAAAAAGAGTCTCACTGAGTCAACTGCACATTATGCAGTTAGATAAAGCCAGCTGTCATATTGTATTATAGGAGCCACATGATTGCCACCCTGTGACAACCTTGGAAATGGGCAGCCTGGAATGAACAATGAAACCTAAGCAACAATGGTCTCAGTATAAGAATCCAAACCAATTGAAGATGCCACTCATGTTATGAGACCCTTGCTAATACATCTTGTTTCACAAACACTTCCAAAAGGGTGAGGGTGAGGTATAAAAGAACAAAAAATTGACACTCAACCAAGCCTATCTAGGACAACATTAGAATATTTTATCAGATGTTGTTTACTTCAGCTCTGACTTTAATATATTTTTATTGATTTCAGAGAGTAAGGGAGAGGGAGAATCATTGATCGGCTGCCTCCTGCATGACCCCCACTGGGAATCAAGCCCACAACCTGGGCCTGTGCCCTTGACTGCAATCGAACCCAGGACTCGCCACAGGCTGACGCTCTATCCTCTGAGCCAAACCAGCTAGGCACCTCTGACATTTTCTTGCCATTAATGTATAAAAAATGTTTTCAGGGCTTCAATGTATAAAAAAATGTTTCTTTTATTGTCAGTGCTAATATCCTTATATGCACAATTTATTTCTGATCCTCTTTATTTAACATGTGAGCACTTGTGAGTTTAAAAAGGCTCAATTTTGTGATGCTCAACAAACCTTCCATTTTGTTGATAAAATGCTTCTTCAAATTCCCGTAATGTTTTACGTAGTTTCTTTTTTTCAGCTCTGGCTTTCCAAAGTTGTTCCAGTAATTCAGGCCTAAAATTGAAATAGGAAGAAAACATTACTGAAAGGGCACTGTTGATTCATTATGTTCTCAACAGTGGTTTGAACCCTTGCTCCACCCCAGACCAACTAAATCAGAATAGTTGCCAGTAGGGCTCTGCAGCAATACTTAAAAAAAAAAAAAAAAAAATCCTGCCCTTTCTTCCCTTTTAGCGCTCGCTAGCAACAGCCCGCGCTCCACTTTCCCCTGCTGCCGCCCAGCTCCCGGGTCAGCCAACACCATGGGCTTTGGAGACCTGAAAAGCCCTCCAGCCTCCAGGTCCTCAACAACTACCAGGAGGACAAGAGCTAAAGGGGTGTGTACCATCACAAGCAGGCGTGGCAGTATTTGAAGCAGTCTCCGGGCCACCACCTGCCAACCTGTACCATGCCCCTCATTGGTACAATCACATCAAGTCTTACGAAAAGGAGAAGGCCAGTCTGCCTGGAGTGAAGAAAGCTTTGGACAAGGATGGCCCTGCTAATGTGGAAGACACCACAGGAAGTGGGGCTACTGATAGTAAAGACAATGACAGTGACATTGATCTCTTTGGACTTGATGATGAGGAGGAAAGCAAAGAAGCAAAGAGGCTAAGAGAAGAACACCTGGCACAGTATGAGTAAAAGAAAGCCAAAAAACCTGCACTTGTTGCCAAGTCTTCCATCTTATTAGATGTGAAACCTTGGGATGATGAGACAGATATGGCAAAATTAGAGGAGTATGTCAGGAGCATCCAAGCAGACGGCTTGATCTGGGGCTCTTCTAAACTGGTTCCAGTGGGGTATGGAATTTAAAAACTTCAAATACAGTGTGTAGTGTAGTGATGGCGAACCTTTTGAGCTCGGCGTGTCAGCATTTTGAAAAACCCTAACTTAACTCTGGTGCCGTGTCACATATAGAATTTTTTTGATATATGCAACCATAGTAAAACAAAGACTTTTATTTTTGATACTTATTTTATATATTTAAATGCCATTTAACAAAGAAAAATCAACCAAAAAAATGAGTTCGCGTGTCACCTCTGACACGCATGTCATAGGTTCACCATCAGTGGTGTAGTGGAAGATGATAAAATTGGAACAGACATGCTAGAGGAGCAGATCATTGCTTTTGAGGACTATGTGCAGTCCATGAACATGGCTGCTTTCAACAAAAACGAAAATCCATCCTGAATCAGTGCCCTTTAAATAAAAGCTTGAAAGATTTAAAAAAAAAAAATCCTCCCAGGTGATCCTAAAGTGAAGCCAGGGCTAAGAACCAAAGTCAGACACCATATCAGGTAAGAAGCTGACAGAGAACTTAACAAATAACTCTCAGCTGTTTCTGGCACTTTGTTAGAAAGCAAATATAGAATTTTAGTTTTTAAATTTTTCAACACACTAATATTTAATTTAAAAATTGTGAACTGGACATGTATTTGTAAATCACATTTTTTTTAAAAAGGATGTATCTCTTAAGTACTGTATTAATTCCTGCCAAGTGCTCAATTATTTAACGTTACATTTCTTGTCATATTAAGTTTTATTATACAAATAGGCTAAAATCACAAACTAGCCAACATACATAGATGCTGCTCGAGTACTTGACAATCGGAGATCCAGAGCCAGTTTTTCTTGATTTTCCTCCACATCAGATTCTGAGTTTTCTAATGAAGACTGTGCCTGTACAGCAGTTTGCAATATATCAGTTAACTCAGAGGACAGACTAACACCTTCTTCTTCTTCTTCCTAAAAAGATATTCAAAAATAAAGAATCAAACAGGCATAACTTTCAACTTTTCTTTTAGAAAAGAGATCAGAGATTAATTCTTTTAAGGATTACCTTGATTTCTTCAAAAAAATGTGCAGTTTCTCCTTCTATGATTGGCTGTAACATCTGACCCCTTCGCTTGGTGGATGGAGATCCCTGCAATAATTAACATACAAATGATTAAATTTTAATTATTAATTCAATGAGGCTTCACTTCAATAATATTAAACTTTATTTTCAAAATCCTAATCATTTATGCTATTATTTAGGAATTCCTTAGTAAAAAAAAAAAAAAACGTTCTTGCTTATATGTATTTTCTAGTTGTGTGTACATAAAAGTGATAAATTATATTTTATGTGCAAATAATTCTAGCCTTAGCCGGTTAGCTCCAGTCAAGGGCACATACCTTGGTTGCAGTCTCCTCCCCAGTCAGCGCCCTGGTCAGGGCGCCTGTGGGAGGCAACCAATCTATGTATTTCTTTCTCATCGATATTTCTCTCTGTCTTTCCCTCTCTTCCACTCTCTCTAAAAATTAATGGAAAAATATTCTCAAGTGAAGATTAAAACAAACAAACAAACAAATAATTCTAAAAGGGCTCATTCAGTAAATATTTTAAAAATTCTAAATAAAAGAATGACAATTTAATTGGAAAAGAATTTTCTTTTTAAGAATAGTTGTCAACCATTTTGGTCTGAGGAACACTTCATACCTCTTTTAAAAAGTAACAGCTTTAGTCCTAGCCCGTATGTCTCAGTGCCTAGAGCATTGGCCTGCGGACTGAAGGGGCTCAGGTTTGATTCCAGTCAAGGGCATGTACCTCGGTCGCAGGCTCGATCCCCAGAGCATGCAGAAGGCAACCAATGGGTGTGTGTCTTATATCAATGTTTCTCTCTCCCCTTCCCCCCCACTTAGACTCTCTCTAAATCAATGGAAAAAATATTATCTTCGGGTGAGGATTAACAACAACAACAAACATTAAAGAGTAACAGCTTCAGCAGAGCCAGCGTAAACCAGGAGGTCATGGTTCCAGGTTTCAGGCTTAATCTCCAGTGGGGTGTGTGCAGGGGACAGCCAATCAATGATTCTCTCTCATCATTGATGTTTCAATCTCTCCCTCTCCCTTTTTCTCTCAAATCAATATTTTTTTGTAAAAAAGTAACAGCTTCATTGAGATATGTCACATACCATTAAATTCACTTTTTTTAGTGAGTTTTAATATACTGAATTCACAAGTTATACAACCATCACCACTAGAACATTTCATCACAACCCTCACCCCCCAAAATTGTATACTCATCAGCTGTTATTCAGGTGCCCTCTACCCCTAGCCCTTGGCAAACACTAATCTTTCTGTACCTATGGGCTGGCCTATTCTAGATATTTCATATAAATGGAATCATATAATATGAAAAAAAAAAATCAGTAATGATTAACTTTTATATACAAAGAATATAAACTGTACAGGCTTTTTTCCCCTTGTTCAAAGAAAGCCGACTATATCTAAATAAAAGTGCTGAGATGACCAACTTGAAAAAAAAACAGTCAATTCAGAATAGAATCAGGGCCACCTGGCCAGCGTGCTCAGTGATTAGTCATCCCAATATGCCAAAGTTAAGGGTTCAATCTGTGATCAGGGCACATACAAGAAGTAATCAATGAATGTATAAATAAATGGAACAACAAATTAATGTCTCTCTTCCCCTTCCCTCTAAGTATAAAAAAATTTTTAAATTAAAAAAGAATCAGTTTCTATGAAGGCTAAGTAAAAAGTGCTCAGAAGGCCAATGTGAACTTTCTAATGAGTAGTCAGGTGGTGAGAGCCTGAAGGAAACCCCCCATGAAAGTGGCTACAACCATAAAAATGGCCTGCAAGCCTAAGCAAACCATAAGCTCTAGTAAATTAATTCCTATGAGAGGATGCAAAATGGGCTATATGCTGTTTTCTACTTGAGCCTGAGAGAAATCTAAAGCCATACAATTTAATGGTTAATTTGGGGATAGCACTTAATTTATACATTAGTATTAGAGTTACAATTCTCTAAAATTGTACATGAATATGAATAAGCATTATTTTAACAAACTTTTTCGTTTAAATAGATAAACTTGAAAAAAATCAGTTGATATTGTGCAAATAAAAAAACATAATCATGATGGACATCACAAAACTAATGTAATTTCAAAGACATGAATTTAAATGGAAAAAAGCTAGGTAAGAGTTTGAAATATAGGTTATTTTAATTCCACAAAGTAGGTGACCCTGGCATATTGTTCCTGAGCCTCAGTTTCATCATCTGTGAAATGAGGCTATGAGGCTATCTTCTGTTACCTGTTGAAACTTATCAGGATGTAATGACAGAAAAATGCTTTACAAAAATGACTACTAGTAGAGATAATAGCAGGCACTTCTTATTAATTTCCTATTCTTTTTTAAAGCAGTAACCACCTTACAATATACAATTCATGCTACCAAGTCTCTCTTTCTCCCACATATAACCATAATTTTTTTAAGAGTAGGTCTTGGCAAAATTAACTAGATAAATTTTTGCATGTTTTACTTACAAGGATAGGAGTGATGCTAGCTCTTGTCAACATCTGTTTTACAAGTCTGTATCTATCATAGAGAGGTTTAACAATGTGCCTTTCTTCCCTGGTCACCTGAAGCAAAAACAATGGAAATTATCTGGTCATAAGAAATCTAAAATGTCCAAAATATTGAGCAATCTGACTTTCCCCCCAATTTTTAGAAGTTATTTTAAATAAGTAGTCAATTTCCCAAATGAAAGAAACAATGCTCTATAATATAGCTCTGAAGATGTGGGCCACAAATGTGACCCTCTTTTTTAAGATAGACATCAACTTTATTTTTTTAAGCAAGAGAGACATTACCGGCCTTCCATGTTGACTTTCATAGTAAAGAAGACTTTTCTGGAGCGAAGTTTTCTCTTCTACCAAATGATCTTTTGTCATTTTCTAGGAAAAAAAACAAAACACTCCCATTGGCACCATCATTACTGTCCTCACTCCCAATGTAAATAATTAGGATGAAAGGGCAGCCCATCACCACTCTAACCGAGGCTAATAAGAATACATCTTTGCTCGTGAATTTACAGGCAACATTTCTCAGTCACCTGCAGAATCTGGTCTTCTAATATTTAGGTACCAGTCTTCTTTGGTGGGTTTAATTTATATTTTATCTGAATAAGTTATGAATACCAGCTTAGTGGCCTTACGTAAATTATTTAACCTCTTTTTGTTCACTATCTTAATCTAGAAAAGGGGAAACTTCACCTGTCTCATAAGGCTCTAATGAGTTAGTATATGTTGTAAAGGCATACAATAAGCACACATAAATGCCTATTAATTTATTTGTATTTTCACAGTTTTATTGATATTTAACTATATACAGGTCTTATAATCTAATATTTCTCCTAAAAACAAAATCTGGAAGCAGTATAGTGGAAAGAATGTGAATAAAAACAATGTCAATTTGTGACCTTAGACCTTATAACCTCAGTATCTCTTCATCTGGAACTTTCTTTTCACTATAATCCTCTTGTCATAACTTTTAGTACTCTAAATTATACTAGAGTAGGGAAGACACCCCAAATTTATTTGACTATAGAACCTCCCAGCTTTGTTTCAAAGGACCTTTTAACATATCAGCAAACCACTGTTCCACAGACTTCCCTTTAACACTACACTAAATAAACTCTCTACTTAATCCCAGGAATAGATAATACTATCTATCCCAGCGGTTCTCAACCTTCCTAATGCCGCGACCCTTTAATACAGTTCTTCATGTTGTGATGACCCCCAACCATAAAATTATTTTCGTTGCTACTTTATAACTGTAATTTTGCTACTGTTATGAATCGTAATGTAAATATCTGATATGCACGATGTATTTTCATTGTTACAAATTGAACATAATTAAAGCATAGTGATTAATCACAAAAACAATATGTAATTATATACGTGTTTTCCGATGGTCTTAGGCGACCCCTGTGAAAGAGTCGTTCGACCCCCAAAGGGGTCGCGACCCACAGGATGAGAACCGCTGATCTATCCTGTTTCTCACCAGAGTGAAATTAGAGGTTAAAAAAAAAAAAATCACTGGATATCTTCCTCTAAGAAATGTCACTTTAGGTTATATACATTTAGTAGAGGCCAGCTGGGTATAGACCAGCGGTTCTCAACCTGTGGGTTGCGACCCCTTTGGCGGCCGAACGACCCTTTCACAGGGGTCGTCTAAGACCATCCTGCATATCAGATATTTACATTACGATTCATAACAGTAGCAACATTACAGTTATGAAATAGCAACGAAAATAATTTTACGGTTGGGTCACAACATGAGGAACTGTAAAGGGCCAGAAGGTTGAGAACCACTGGTATAGACTCTATAATAATATGAACAATGTAATTTCAACCTCAAGCCTGATTCTTAAACCTAGGATAATGAATGTGAAAAGCTAATCCAATCAAAATAACTTAAAGGGAGGAGGTTGGTCTAACACAAGATCAAAAAACAAAAGGTGGAGAAAAGGAGCAATTAGAATTTCTAACCCAGCTCTGTTCAAAGGAGAGCAACCCCAATACTTAGATAATGAGAGAGGTATAACTCTTTTGTTGAGAGAGCATGGACAAAATTTCACTTGGGACCATCTATCTACGTCTGTACTCTCCCAGCAATTCTCATGATAAATGATTTGGGTTGCCAAGTGCTTTGACCAGGACTGCCTGAGGCATTGGCTTAGTGAGTAATGGTTCGTTTCAAAAAAGTCATTCACTTGATCCTTATAATAAACATATTGTGTTAGTATTTTAATGGGCATCATCATATCCATGTAAGTCATAGAGCTATCTAAGACCTCTGCACATACTATAATCAGTCAGGGCCAAGCATAAAAATTCAATACATATAACTGTTAAGATACAATGCCAGAATTCAAACTCACATTGTTGCATGCTCTTTATTCATCTTACCAACTGCCTCCCATGTAAACGCACAGATCCCTAAATGACCGGGCACTCTTGGTGTGCTGATAAACACACGTATCTATATCTGCAAGCTTAGGGAGCAGACTCTGGCCAGTCACACTATCTAGACATTTCTATGCCACTGTGGTAATTACTTTATTTTAGGGACTCTAGGCTAGTCTGGGCAAAACCATAGCTCAAAATTACTTTGATATCTTCTGGAAGACACCTCTCAACACGTTTTTCCTTCAGTCTTTTCAGAATAAGTTCCAGTGTTGCTTCCTTAGATGGCTTCTTCTCCTTATGAATGACCCTGGATTCATCTTCATTCTCTTCATCCTCATGGTCTAGAGAAGAGCCAAAGCTTTTTGGAAGAGTGTTACTACGTGGACGTGTCTGAGGTAACAATTCTCCATCAGAGCTTCTGTGTTTTGCGTCTACATTTCAGAACCAAGAAGATAAATCAGTGACTTTAACTAAAATGCAACTAAGTCAAAAGAGTAAGCAGCAAACAAGATATAAAAGAGGAAAATATACATTAACAGCACTCAGGCTCAGATATTTCAAGATTACATGAAATGTTTAAATTATATATAGCAACCAATATTCATAGACATTGTAAGATGCTCTTACTATAATGTAAGATGCTCTGGTAAGCATTGGAAAAACAGACATGTCCCTATTTTCATGTAGTATATAATTCGGGAAGTAAAAACAAAAACCTAGTAATCAAATTCATAAACCAAGTAATTTCAGAGTGCTAAGTGCTATAAAGAAGACAAGATAGGATGGTTTCACAGTGCTGAAAGGAACAGAGCAGTGATTGTGGAAGAGCAGCTACATTGGATGGGATTGACAATTAAAGCCTTTCTGAGATAGTGACATCCTCGTTGCACATGGAATAAGAAGATAAACTAGTATAAAAGATTTAGGGGAAGGACATTCCTCCCCAATTGAGGCAATAGCCAACAGTGCATAGGCCCTAAAATGTGCCATGTGTAAGGAACAGAAAATGAGAAAAGAAAGTGACAAAATGAGCTAAAGGCAGAGTATGCAAGGCTTTGAAATCCATGGCAAAAAATCTGGACTTTATTCTAAGTGGGAAAGGAAGCCTAATGAAGGGCTTTAGACAAGATTAGTAACAGTTCTTGAAAAGATAATGCTGGCTGCTATGAAGAGAATGGACTATAGGACAAGAGTGGAAAAAAATTTAAAAATTACTTGGAAACCAATTTTCCTTGTTTAATGTCAATATGGTTGAAAATTGGCATTAAACAAGGAAATGCTTAACAGAGTTGTAGGAAACAATTCTAAAAAAGAGATATTAGAACGACAAAAATGTAAACTCAATGACAATAGGAACACTATCTTGTTCACTGCTATAACCTCATGTCTTCAAGTACAACTACTTTATACCTAAAGATACTAAAAATTTGGTTGAATTCAAATGAATACACTAAAACATGATAGTCCAGATTATAAACCCCTACTGGGTACAGATAAATTTTTTAATATTAACAATTATTTTAAAACATGCTCACTACCCTGGCCAGGTAGCTCAGTTGGTTAAAGCGTCATCCCAACAAGTCAAGGTTGTGGGTCCGATCCCAGATCAGGGCACATACAAGAAACAACCAATCAATGCATAAACAAGTGGAACAACAAATCAATGTCTCTATCTCTCTCTCCCCACTTCTTCTCCCCTCTCTAAAATGAATAAATGAAAAAAAAATTTTAAAAACATGCTCACTAACCATACAAAGTAATTATATCTTAGCAACTGCTGTTCTGGATTAACAGTAACACAACACCTAGTTTTGGATTCAAGAAGGCTTATTATTTAGTTTTTGTAGTAAAAACAGTTTATTATGATTAGATATTTTTGTCTAAGATGAAATACCAAACACCAAAACTGCTTAATATTTGAGATATATTTCAGATAAACTTTATAATATCACCTATGAATATACAATCAAGGGCACCTTTCCAAAGAACACTACTAATCAAAACATAGGAAGACATTTGGAAGAACTGTAATAGTGCCACAACTGACCATAACTAATAAGAAAACTTCTACTTTGGTGAACAGTGTCCAAGATTTAAAATTATCAAAATTATAACTATAATTCCCATACACATTATAAAGAATATTTTAAAAATGAAAATATATTACAAAAGTGGCACATTTTATACCTTTAATTTGCTTCCGCAGTTTGGTAAGCTCTGTCATCCATTTTAATACCTTTGGGTTAGCTGCAATATCACTGTAAGAAGGCTGGAAAATAAAGAAACAGAATCACTGACACTTTTGTGGTAAAAAATAGTCATATTGCCGAGACCGGTTTGGCTCAGTGGATGGAGCGTCGGCCTGCGGACTGAGAGGTCCCAGGTTCGATTCCGGTCAAGGGCATGTACCTGGGTTGCGGGCACATCCCCAGTGGGAGATGTGCAGGAGGCAGCTGATCAATGTTTCTCTCTCATCGATGTTTCTAACTCTCTGTCTCTCTCTCCCTTCCTCTCTGTGAAAAATCAATAAAATATTTATAAAAAAAAAATTAAAAAAAAAAAAATAGTTACATTAATTTATGCCTAAGTAATATTTTATAGTTTCCACAGCAGAGATTTCACTCCATCCTCATTTTCAACTTACCTTATTTTAAGTAGATCTGAAAGCTCTCAGAGCAGTATTTAGCAACTGGCAAGAGCCAGATTTAAATATGGGTCCTCTTTCCACTTCATGTTCTGATTATTACATTTATTAAACTATCTCTTTCTCCACCTCCTACCCTTGGTACTTGTGGTTTTGGAGGGAGAACAGAAGTAATATTAATGTCATTTGTCAATGTAAAGCAGTGGTTCTCAACCTTCCTAATGCCGCGACCCTTTAATACAGTTCCTCATGTTGCGGTGACCCCAACCATAAAATTATTTTCGTTACTACTTCATAACTGTAATTTTGCTACTGTTAGGAATCATAATGTAAATATCTGATATGCAGGATGTATTTTCATTGTTACAAATTGAACATAATTAAAGCATAGTGATTAATCACAAAAACAACATTAATTATATATGTGTTTTCCGATGGTCTTAGGCGACCCCTGTGAAAGGGTATTTCGACCCCCAAAGGGTTGCGACCCACAGGTTGAGAACCGCTGATGTATTTACTTTAAAAATTCTATAGCCCGGCTGGCATGGCTCAGTAGTTGAACGTCGACCTATGTACCAGGAGGTCAGTTTTATTCCTTGGGCAGGGCATATGCCTGGGTTGTGGGCTTAATCCCCAGTGTGGAACATGCAGGAGGAAGCCGATCAATAATTATCTCATCACTGATGTTTCTCTCTCTCTCTCCCTGTCCCTTCTTCTCTGAAATCAATAAAAATATGAAACTCTACAAGCTGTTTTTCCAATGGAAATAGCTGGCATGAAAACCAGGAAACTAAGGATCTATATAATTTTAGATCTGTATGATGTCTGGGCATCTCAGATTCTTTTTCCCAGGAAGAGATGGACTAATGCTCTCCAAATACATTCTCCCAGTTCCAATAGATCTATCTCACACTGGAAATGTTACAAACTTACCTTGCTATTTCTTTCCCTTTCAAACTGTTCTTCAAATTGTCTGATTTTTTTCTGAAGTTTCTTGACCAACTGATATGGTGTTCTGTCTTCTCTTTTTTCATCTTTTGAACTAAAGGATGATCTTCGAATCCTGAATTAAAACAAGAGGCAAACACTATGTGTTAAATTTTTAAGTTAACACTGTATCTCTTATTGCCCTTATGTAACATGATACTATTACCAAGAAGTATATCCCTAATACTAAAAAACAGAAAAAGAAACTTATGCTATAGTGTTACAGGCCATAAAATTAGCTAATGCAAGCACTGACTAAAACAATTTGAAATCATTCAAAAGTTGTTTGGGCAAAGGCAAAAACAAAGATATCTAGGCAGCTCAGAGCTCTTTTTGTGTTCAAACTGTACAGGAAAGATTTTGACATTAAGGATCAATTTAATTCAAAATTTTGACAAGCTCCACTTGCTGCTTCCCTTCCAGAGATCTGTAATCCAATCATAAGTGATTAAATGAATAAATACACCGTGAGAAAATTTCTATTAGAGAACAGATCCCAAACAGTATTCCCCAATGAGCCCAGAATTTAGGGATCAAAAAAATTAAGTTATAAAAATGTGCTTCATGATATATGGGAGAAAGCTTTGAACCTCATTGCCTGAGTTTCAAAGGACCTGGGTACATAATAGGAATTACTCCTCATAAGTACATAAAAATCATATACCTAGCAAAAGACAGTGCTTTAGATGAGGAAGTCAATGTCTCTGGATCATGTAAGAAACGCTGGCTTTGCCCAAAATCTAAACTACGGTGTGATAATACTGGAGGACAGTCCTCTTCCAGGGGGTGATGATTCATTCTTCCAGCTTGTGGAGAGAGTTGAGCCTCCCCAGACTCAGAGTCTTCCTGCCAAGACTTAAAAGCAGGAAATGGCTCTGTAAAACAAACACAAAGAATAGTACCATGGGTCTCTTGGTTCCACATGGAAAAGAAGTCACACAACATCAGCTATATGTCTTTTAAATCAGATCATTATGTGGTGAGTCATATAATATTTATGATATTAAAAACAAGGAATATTAGGATCTTCATAAAGCCTACTATAGTTTAAAATTGCCTGAGTTTCATTTTTAAGTCTAGAGTTCTATTTTCATATAAGGAGTTAATACTTTAAATTTCTGAACCCAGTCGCAAAGTAAGAAAGGACACTGTCAAGCTCTTTAAAATTACAAAAATGTTATTTTTCAAGTATGGCAAAGTCTTCATTTAGAAACACTCAAAAGTCCTTAGGCAGGAATTTAACTTAGCCAAATGCTGCCAGGTGAATAAATTGTCCCTCACTGTAAAGTGGCTATGTTAAGAAGTGGAAGCTAGCCCTAACCGGTTTGGTTCAGTGGATAGAGCATTGGCCTGTGGACTGAAGGGTCCCAGGTACGATTCCGGTCAAGGGCATGTACCTTGGTTTCGGGCACATCCCCAGTAGGGGGTGTGCAGGAGGCAGCTGATCAATGTTTCTCTCTCATCGATGTTTCTAACTCTCTATCCCTCCTCTCCCTTCCTCTCTGTAAAAAATCAATAAAATATATTAAAAAAAGAAGTGGAAGCTATTCCCCAAGCTATACAGAACACTCACCAAATGGAGTTCTCTGACTCCAAATGAATTCTAACATTTCCAAATGGGTAGCTAACTCACCTAATAGCACCTAGCCTCTAACATTAAACTATGGTGGTTATTTTCTGTTACAGGATTCTGATGCACAATATATATTTTAATAATTAAACACCCAACAGTATTATCAAGACATAATTTAATAGCACATCTTTCCTAAGCACATTTATTTTATTGGTTACCCTGTATGTTTTCAAATAAAACCACAATGACATATTTAATATCTTTGCATACATAAGGCTTAATTACATATAAACACAGAGATAAATACACAGGCCATAAATATACTCCAAATATAAAATTAACTTTCAAGTATTACTGGAGTCTGTGGGGAAGGGGAGACACTTTTCACTTTTCTATCTACACATTAACTTTATTTAAAACTACAATTTAAAACTTTTACGCCATGGTTATTAACAATAACAAAAATGAGTTTTAAAGTATTTTTGGATGCAAAGATGGTTTGACAGTGTCAAAAATCAAGAATGACGTTTTCTTTTTCTGCACTCAATAGCTAAGGATTGTTACTTTAGTAATTTAGTTTCTAACTTTATGGATTAGCAGTTTAAAGCATTATAGTTTTGCCAGGGTAATGAAAACATATATTTTGTTAGTTTTTAAAGCCAAGATCAACCTGATCACTAAAAAGGTACAAAGCGTGCCTTTCCACAAGAAACCCAGCAATAAAGTGATTTTCAAAGCAACCCCTTGTACCTGCTTCCCAGCATATAAGTAACTGGCAAACGTTTTACAAGAAATCTCCTATTTTAAGAAAAGATAGAAATAACAGAAACAATTTTTTCTGGGTACCATTTTTAACCCAGATCAGTTTTCCAACCATATGGGGACAGCAGGAGAAGGGCTAATAAAAAAGGCAAACAAAGTGAACCATAAAAAGGCATAAAAACTAAACTATGGTGAACCATACTTACCCTCCCCATCTCTCTGCAGATGCATTGTTTTGAAATCAATGATGGGGAAAGTGATAGGGCATGATGCTAATAAAATGGAAAAAAATGGCAAAAAATACTAAAGTGAACATACAGCACAGTCAGAACAAACCATACACATAACTAACACAAGCCAAAGATACCAAAAATATTATCCTAAAACCAGTTAGGCATTCCACTCAAAAACTTTATCCAAAGAAATTACTAACCAAACTTTAAAAACAAACACAAACATAACATTTCCATTTCAGCAAGCAAGGCAAAAAAATCAGAGTACTGTTTATTAAAACTCAAACATAAAACTAAAGAAATGGAAACTCTTAACCAGGTACTGTTTGAAGCTTTTCAGTATAATTGATTTGACAAAAAAAAATCTCCCTTTGATTGTTCTTTGATTGCTGTTTTCCATTCAAGAGTTAGCAGGAGAGAATCTGAAGGAAAAATGTTATCCACTTCCATTAAAAGCCAAGACCTTTTGAACAACTGCTACAAATGCATACCAGTGGTATATATGCGCTACCTGCTTGCTAACTGCATTCTACTGACTATACTTGGAGCAATACAAAAAAGAAAACTCACACATAGGAAAAAGTGGACCTCTATCTGGAGTCACCCCACTTCTCTGCTAAGAGTTACACTCAACAAGGTTTGTCTCTGATTCTAAGGTATCTAGGGTCTAAAGTAATTCAGCCTCTTAACAAAGACATTTAGAACTAGAGGCCCGGTGCACGAATTCGTGTACCAGTGGGGTCCCTCAACCTGGCCTGCAGGATCAGGCTGAAACCGGCTCTCTGACATCCCCCAAGAGGTCCTGGATTGCGAGCGGGCGCAGGCCAGGCTGAGGGACCTCACCGGTGCACAATTGGGGCCAGGGAGGGACACAGGAGGTTGGCCAGCTGGGGAAGGACCATAGGAGGGCTCCAGGGCGTGTCCAGCCTGTCTCTCTCGGCTGCACCCCAACAGCAAGCTAACCTACCGGTCGGAGCATCTTCCCCCGGTGGTCAGTGCATATCATAGTGAGCAGTTGAGTGGCCTTAGCGTATCATTAGCATATTACACTTTGATTGGTTGAACGGCTGACCAGCTGACCAGACACTTAGCATATTAGGCTTTTATTATACAGGATATCCTAACTTTACAGAAAATCAATCCTTGTGTTATTGGCAAAGTTGGAAGGAACAACATGGTGTGCTAATGGCCACTCTTCCAAGTACATACAGGTTCATGAATGAGAAGTTCACTCAGATGTCTGAAAAATCACTGACCCTATTCCTGGAAGTGCCAGAAGGAGAACTGCAGGGACTTGTCAAGGCTATTGAGCCAGGTGGGTGACAGGGCACTTTGGGCACTGAAAATCAGGGATCGGTAGTCAATGTTACCTCCCTTCCATAACACCAGCTGTTAAGGGGTGGATTCTGACACAGAAACAAAAAAGAGGCCAGCATTAGGTTCTATTTGGGAAATCCCCAGAAAGCTGAAGCTAGACAATGTCCTATTTCCTCAGATGATGAAAAATAATTGCTCTTTTATGCTTAATACTTAAGATGAGGACCTTCAGCATTGGATTGTAAAGGGCTGCATTCTCCATGAGGAAGGAGCCTAAGTCCTTTGTCAGAATCCCAGCCTCATCTTTCAGAGATTCCTTTCCTACTGTGGCTTGAGGGATGATCTATTGACCATCATTCCTTTTCAGTGACTATGCCAGGATAAATAACTAAGAGGGACATTTTATTTTCACTGCCACCAGGATGCCAACGTGTCCCCCTAACTCTGGGGAACATCTTCATAAATTCTAAACATCCTGAATAACCCAGAATATAGCAAATGAAAGACAACTTCCTTATCTGTGTATCAGTCTAAGTTAAAACACATAATATGCCACTGGGGGGGGCGGGGGGGGGGGGCACGCATACAAAACATCTAAACAAAAAAAATAGAGGGGGAATGGGAGACAGCAGTAAAAGTTGGCACAGAGAATGACTTGGTTGGGACTTTAAAAATTGGCTATATCTTAAAAATAAATACATAAAACACTCCAAATGTGATCAGGTGAGTTGACTTAAGGCGGCAAAAGGATTGGTATTGGCATTGCAATTTCTCGTTATTGCCACTGTACGTTATTAGCTAACTTGCCAAAGGTGAGATATCCAAGGGATCTTCATCCAAGTGAACAAATATGTAACTTTACTTAAGATTCCTGAGTTGTCTCAATTCTTTTTATCAAGGAAGGTGTATGATCCAAAAGGACTCCTGGATCCAAATTTGTTGCTTGCTAGCTCTTCCCACCCCAACATTTTATTTGGAAGTTTACAAATATACAGTCAAGTTTAAAGAATTTTACAATGAACACCTGTATCAGTTACCTAGATTCCACCATTAACATTTCACTATACATGCTTTATAACATTTATCTACCCTATTAACCATCTTATTTTTTCATGAATGTCAAAGAAAAATGCAAATATTAGCATATATCCCCATAAACATGCAAACCAATCACTGGAATTCAATATTTATTTAGTTTTTGCTTTTTTTGATAAAAAAGAAAAACTCATATATAACGAAATCCAAGTACCCAGATGTCTTGTTTTTTAAATTTAAATTCTAACTTCTCTCCTTTATAAAAATTGCTAGGGCCTGGCTCCCAAACTTCATAACCAAACCTAACAGGGAAATGGTACAGTATTTGCACAGAAATGCCCCTGAAGATCTTTTTTTTTTTTTATGATCATAAAGAACAGGCAGCTATGTATAAGCCCCCTCTTTAATATGGTGAGATCCCCAAGACGTCAAGATACTAGACTTTTAAAGACTGGTCAATATTATCTAGTTTAACAATTAATAAAAGCCTTTCCTGAGGGTTTTATTTTTTACTCTTTTAACATTTATCTTCAAAGCTAATGGATCAGATAAGATCGTCTAGTTCATAAGAGATAGTTGCCCCATAATCTCATTAATGCATTCGAGTAAAAACATTCACTCTTCTTATATGAAAAAGAGAACAGAAAATAAAAATCAATAAGATTTCCAGAAAAAGGCCAGTAATCTCATAACTGCTTGGAAAATTTCATTTACAAAGAACATTATCAGGAAAATAATTCGTGTGAGTAAAATTACCTTCCCATTTATCACCATCAGAAATATTCTTCAGATCTAAATGTGGAATTTGGACACATGCTGCTTCTCCTTGAACACCACTTTGATCTGCTGGCACTTCTGATTCAGTGTTGGCATTCAAATCACACATCTTGGTACAAGAGTCCTGTATTTTAAAATAAAGAATACATTTCACATCTAGGAAGCTTTTCAAACCCATCTGACAGACAACCAGCATATATCCTGTGTAGTCTTCATTAGTTTACTGTGCCTATACAATAAGTTGGCCCACTCCCACCATCCACAATACTTTCAAATATAAATTTGCAGTTTTATATGTCTTATTAGGAAACAATGTTTGGACCCCAAATTCAGGAAAGTATTTTCATAACTAAGTTTCTTGTAACCAAAAGTGACATAGTAAGTGCTACTTTAACTGTAAAACATTTGGTAAGAGTATATTTTAAACCCCCTTGAGATCTATACAACTCAGAAGTTAAAAGCCAGATATAGTAATTAGTAGCTTAAGCCTAGTCAAATTTCTAAGAACCATAAACGAAAAAGAATTCTTACCAGAATTAAGTGCGACAATTTATCACTGTCAAATGACAAATATTCTTTCCTAAAAATACAAATAAAATTATTAGTCTTTTAAGAATAAATAGGTTACTATCACTGCATATTTCTTACCTAGATTCATCTCTTCCCCATAGAGTTAGCATTTATAATGTGACAGAAGAATGACAACTAGACACATTCCCATTCTTTGGAGCCCTATATCTGAAAATCACACACTACTGAAAAGATCCACAGAATCACTTCAGGTTAGAAAAATTAAGTAACACTCACCACCTTCCCATACAACCACACACACCCCCCAAAATTTTTTTTAAACTGAAAAGAAAAATAAGCCCGGCCAGAGTGGCTTAGTTGGTTGAGTGTCATTTTGTGCACCAAAGGGTTGCCATTCAGGGCACATGCCTGGGCTGGGGGTTTGATCCCCAGATGGAGCACATGTGGAAGGCAACCAACCAATCAATGTTTCTCTCTCTCTGCCTTCCTCTCTCTAAGCATGTCCTCTGGTGAGGATTAAAAAAAATAAAATCCAAAATAAATAGAAACCAAAAGAACTGAATGTATAATACAAAAGATTTTGTCAAATAAATATTAGTTTTAACCAAATAGCACTATATTCCCTCACTCTAGGATATATTTTTCTTTTAAAGATGATTTTTGAAAGGTATAGCTATGACCTATATCTTAAATCTGATTGTGTTCTATCACAATCAAAACTTCTAACCTCTCCTTCCTAAAATTATCATGATAAAATGTAAATAGGAAATTTTATTTCAATTCACCTCGTATTTCCCCACAAAAACGCACCCCTATTTAGAACAAGTGTAACAGCAAACTATCACAAATGATCTCTGCTTATATAACCAGTCAACAGAGCATCTAGTATCATAGTAGGTTAAAAATATAGTTACTGAGGGAAACTTCTTCTCCCCAAAGACACTGTGCCAATTTACAATGATATGCACAGGTGCTACTTCTACCCTGCCATAACAGGATATGCACTCAGAAAATAGGTCTTGATCTAAATAGGGCAAGTCATCTCTTCATATACCTAATTAATTATCTTATTCTTGCTAAACATGTAAACAACTAAATTCCCTGGTAAACTCAAAGGCCTTCCTTTGCTTAGAATAGGAACAAGTGGTGGGATAAGCTAAATTGTACCCTAACAGACTAAATTCGAGAAACATGTGTGTTAAACATACAAAATGTAAAATCCACCTAACCAAGAAACTCTTTGGATCTAAAACAAGTTTGCTAACCTATACACAAGTTGAAGAGGAAAGAGCTTTTTCCAAAAAGATTGAGTCCTCACTAAATGGATCCTTATTGTTCTACCAAATCCAGATGTCATCATTCTGGGGATGCCTGTCAATGCTGTTAATCTTATATCTTCAGCCCATAGCTCCAATACTCCCTGGGCTGGAAGAGGGTCATTCCTGCCTCCTGAAAGGAAGCACAAGGAACTGCTGTAAGCAGGAAATCTGTGGACCTTCAGAGTATGGGGACACTCCAGAGACATGGCTCCAAAGAATTTACTTACCCTCAGGGAACAGGTTTCCTACTCACAATTAAAAGAGACAATGGCATTAACGCAAGTTTATCCTTGCCAATACGCTATCACCAAATTAATAATGCTATCTGGAATTTCTCAGTATTTACAATCTAGTCTGCAACTTTATTACTGATTTGTTTTCAGAATATCAATTATCTTTCCTAAGAAAGTTACAATACACTTCTTAGCAACATCTTAAAGAATCACAAAAAGGGTAACAAAATCTAAAACCTACATGGTGACTTAAAACATTCTAGAAAACTTCTTTCTGTTCAAAGAGACTCTATCTATTGAGTATTAGAGTCTCCATTGCATATGGAAACTACATATGGCTTAAATATTCACTGCTGCAAGGAATCCCCTTCCCATTACTGCTGATAAACAAGGAGGGAAACAAGCATCAACTGCATGAGATGGTTATGCAAAGTGAAGTCAGACGAAAAAGATCCCCTAAAAAATATAATTCAAACAAACTAACAAAACGAGCTAAAACAAACTCATAGACACAACAGAACAGTGACTACCAGAGGGGAAAGAGGGTGGGGAGAGCAAATTAGGTAAAGTGGGTCAAATATCGGTATTCAGATATCGAATTATATAATGTTGTACACCTGAATCTTATATATTAATAATGTTATCTCAATAAATTTAATTTTTTTTTATAAAGAGACAGTCCTGGGACATACCAAGGAGAAGAGAAACAAAAACATCCTATACATATTTGTTGAAGCAAATATACTACAATCTTTCAGTTAGTCATGCATAGTTCCAAGACTATGATACACTGAAAGGTATATTGAGAGTATTAATAAATTCCTAATTGTTCTACAAATGAACTGAAAGTTTTAAGTGTCTCTAAGGTGGCTGTGTTCATCCCTCTGAATGTTTTCCAAGTTTTAACTGTCTAAACCTACACCCTTTTGAATTTAATCAGCTTTATGCTTACCATTAAAATAAGAAGCTTGGTTCTTTAGATTATCTAAAATATATGCTACAAAAGAGTCATCGAAAAATTCCACCCACAAATTTAAGAACCCCAAATCTCAAAATGATTCATTAATTAGCAACAATAAGAGAAAATGCTTACCTCTCAAGACAGCCATCTTCACTATCACCATGGTCACCACATGGCTCTAACAGTATACCTACAGACTGATAAAAAGAACACCACTATTGTATTAATGGAGCTCCTAATACTCATATATGAGAGGAAGTTTCCAATCTTAGAGAAGTAGATCACAAGTTAGTCAAATGCCCCTCTTTAGCTCACTACCTTATTATGAAATAAGTACTACTACCACTATCACATTCTTTTTCCTTCCTTATAATTCTCTCCTCCAAAAAAGATTGTTTTGTGTCCCACTTGCAAACTCTGCTTCTCCTGAGTCACAAACATAGAAGTTGGTAACTTCTTAGCAGGTGACAGAGAGGTCATGTAGTTCACCAGATCCTTTTATTTGAAATAACAACTGTGAATCTCAAAGCACATAAGAACACTCCTCCATTTCTTAATGGGCTTAGTGACACCATCCCATTCCTATTACTCCCCATAATAAATACCTACCAAGTCTAACACAAATGTCCTGTACATTACTACAAATTATGTAAACTTCTTAGTGTTTATCACTACCTCTGAAATCAACAAAGGGTTCAAGATTCTTTTTCATTTGTTTTTTTTTTAATTTATTGATTACATATGTGTCCTTATCCCATTACCCCCCCACTCATGCCCTCACCCCCCTGTTGTCTGTGTCCATTGGTTAGGCTTATATGCATGCATACAAGTCCTTTGGTTGATTTCTTCCCCTTACCCCCACCTTCCCCTACCTTCCCTCTGAGGTTTGACGTTCTGATCGATGATTCTCTGTCTCTGGATTTGTTTTTGTTCATCAGTTTATGTTGTTCATTATATTCCATAAATGAGTGAGATAATGTGATATTTGTCTTTCTCTGACTGGCTAAGAAACTGACCCAATTTTGTTTAATATGAAAGACAGTCCATAATTATCTGAAAGAGCTATTAAAATACTTCTCCCTTTTCCATCTACTTATCTCTGTAAGGCTAAATTGTCTTCATACACTTCATACAAAAGAATCTATAGCAACAACCATGACACTCCTCAAAATAAAAAAATTTTAAATAGCCGCTTTTTATTCAGAAAAAAAAGCAACCTTATTTATGTTACCTTGAATGAGTGTATTATTGTTTTATTTGAGTTAAGAAACGTTTTTATATTTCTGTTTTAATTTCTAATATAGTAAAACCGATAAATATATCTATGTAAATAATACTTTTATGGGATCCTCAGTAACTTTTTGTTGTTGTTGTTAATCCTTACCAGAGGATATTTTTTTCCATTGATAATTAGAGAATGGAGGGGGGAGGGGGGAAACGACATCAACGTGAAAGAGACACATCAATTGGTTGCCTCCCACACACACCCCAACCTAGGGCGGGGATCGAACCTGCAACCTAGGTACATGCCCTTGACCAGGAATCAAGCCCTCGACCCTTCGATCATCAGGTCAATGCTCTAACCACTGAGCAAACAGTCCAGGGCAAGGATCCTCAATAACCTCTATATCTATAAAACCCTAATATGCAAATAGGCCGTACTGCGGAACAACTGGTTGCTGTGACATGCACTCACCACCAGGGGGTGTGGGTGGAACATGGCAGGCGTCAGCCATAGCGGGATGGTGGAACAGGTGAGCAGGGGCGCCAGACCAAGGTGGGGCACCGCGCCAGTCACTGTCATCAGGGCAAGCCTCTGGCAGGGCAAGCCTACTGAAAATTCTTTGCTCCCGCACACCACAGTCCTGCCTGGTGCTCACACCTGCTGCTGGCACTGGCCTCACTTGTACACACTGCCGGCAATAGAGCCACCACTCGCAGCCGCTGCCAGTGCCCAGCACCAATCGCTCAGCACAGTCAGTGGGTGTGAGCAGCAGCTGCTGGCCCTGATTGCCCCTCAGGGCTTCTTCACCCACCCCTGCTCCTGAGGGGCGATCAGGACCGACAGCCGCCTCTCACACCAGCTTCCGGCACCAGAGCTGCTGCTCACACTAACTGCCAGTGCCAGAGCTGCTGCTCACACCCACTGCCGGTGCCAACCCCACTTGCACCCGCAGCTGGCGCTGGAGCCACCACTCACACCCACTGCTGGCACCCAGCATCGGTCCTGATCACTCAGTGCTTTCAGCGGGTGCAAGCAGCGGCTGCTGGCCCCGATCACCCCTGAGGGCTTCTCCACCTCCCCCTGCTCCTGAGGGGCAATCGGGGGCCACTGTGAGGGGGTGGGCGGGGACACAGAGTATGGGCCGAGACCAGCCCCTGTGCCCACCACAGCCTCGCGGCCCACAGTTCCTTTCAAGGTGCACAAATTTGTGCACTGGGCCCCTAGTCTATATAGATAAAAGCTTAAGTGACTGGATGGCCGGTAGTTATGACACACACTGACCACCAGGGGGAAGACACAACACAGGAGCAGAAACCACAGGCATGGAAACATGGAACAGATTGATGAATCTCAGAGGGAGGAGGGGGGAGGGCAGGAAGAGATTAACCAACGATCTCATATGCATACTAGAGGCCAGTGGGGTCCCTTGGCTTGGCCTGTGCCCTCTTGCATCCAGGATCCCTCAGGGAATGTCGGAAAGCCGGTTTTGGCCTAATCCCCGCAGGCCAGGCCAAGGGACCCCACCAGTACACTAATCTGTGCACCGGGGCCTCTAGTTTAAGAATATAAAGAGGTCCTGAGATACAAAGTGTGAGAAGCACTGGTCTAGAAATAGACTTCAGCAACCTTCATTTTCTAAAACATAAGATCATTTGATGTGGCCCTGCCAAGACAGTAAGGGTGAGTTAATTAAATTTTTGACCAAATATAGCAGGCTAATTTTTAAATTGATAATTTTATATGGCCCTCAAATGATGTTATAAATATCCAAATGGCCCTTGGCAGAAAATAGATTCCCTACCCTTGCTCTAGAATATAGTAGCTTCATTCTTAAATATGAAGATTTCTGGGTACATGAAATAACTATTACCCAGACCAAATATTTAAAACAAGACCTGGTGTTTTACTCAAAGAACCAAATTAAATCCTAGCTCTACCTTCCTCTCTCTAAAATCAATAAATAAAAATAATTAAAAAGAAATGTTAATGAGCCCCCTTCCCCCTTCTCTCCCATCCCACCCACCCTGCCCTACCCCCACCCCTCTGAAAAAAAAAAATGTTAATGAAAATTACAATGTTCAAGTTTCACATAATAGGCTGTAATTTAAAAAATCTGCTGGAAGAGGTTTATGGAGAAAAAAGGAAGACCTATGTAATACTTTCAACAATAAAGATTAAAAAAAAATCTGCTATTGGAGAAGGCACCATGAAATAGGTACTACTATGCATTGTTAATTGATAGTGTAAATTGGTTCAATGGAGGGCCATTTGGCAATATATAGTAATATTACAAATGCATGTATTTTATGACCCAAAATTCTTCTTCTATAAATTTATCCTAAGATAAGTTTGTATAAGGTGAAATGGTTAATTCTGAGGCTATTCACTGCAGCATTTATTTGCATAGGACAGTTTGGGGTTTTTTTAATAGTTTTATTTTATGTCAGTATGATGGAGGAGAAATTAAAATGGATAGATGGGAATAGGGAGGTGACTTTTCCATAGATCCTTTTGTAACTAAATTTTTTACTATCTGAATATATCGCTTTTTCAAAAGACAAATATGTAAAAATTGTATCTTAAAATCTGTAGAGCCCTGGCTGGTGTGCTCTATGGTTAGAGTGTCAGTCCATGCACCAAAGGGTCACCAGTTCGACTCCCAGTCAAGGGCACCTACCTGGGTTGCAGGTTCAATGCCTAGTCAGGATACACGCGGGAGACAACCAATCAATTTGTCTCACATACATGTTCCTTTCTTTCTCTCTCTCTCTCTCTCTCTCTCTCTCTCTCTCTCTCTCTCTCTCTCTTTTTCTCTCCCCTGCTCCTTCCCTCCTTCCCAAAACTCTCTAAAAAAAAAAAATCAATGGAAAATATATCCTCAGGTGAGGATTATCAAAAAGAAGCAGGAAAAAAGGGTTGTCACTGGACTGGGATAAAGGTGAAAAGAGGGTGTGTGTTTTTCATACTACACATGAGAGAAATAATAACATAAATATCTTAATGGAAACGATCCAGGAGGCAGGCAGAAATTAATAGTCCAGGAAAGGGTAAGAAGACAACCTCAGAAGCAAAAACCACGAATAGAGGAATTAATCTAATACACCAGAGTAAATAGCATTAATACACAAGCAATATACAAGTCCAGTCAGTAGTAACAGCAGCAGCTTAAATTCTGTGAAATGTTTTCCAATTTATAACATAATTTTATACTTTTACTTCTTTCCATATTTAAAATAATTCTCTAACATTGGTATTAACACCTCCCCTCCCCCCCACTTATCTATAGAAAAGGAAAAAAAAGAAGCTCAGAGAATTTAGGTGACTTACTAAAGTCACACTGCTATGAAGAGGTGAAGTCAGAATACAAATCTCAATTGCCTGACTCTAAATTTATGATACCTACTTTGATTTATGGTTTAGAACAAGCATGTCAAACTCAAAGGCTAACACAGGCCAAATAAACAAGGTTTAAAGTTTATGTGGGCCACAAAAAAACAAAAGCTTCAATTTTCATAGAAACATAGGTTTATTTTGATAGACATATGCTGGATACAAAGGGCTGAAATAAAATGAGTAATTGTTAACATAAAATAACAGAAAATTTTAATAAAAATTAATATTTTTTTCTTGAACATTAACTTACCAGACACCGAATAACTGCACAAATGAACAAGTGTAACACAAATAAACCTATTTTTCTTGTTCTCCAAAAGCGAAATATTTGCTGTTGTGCACACCAAACAAGTCAGTCCAAGACTAATGATGTGGCCATCGGCTGCTAAAATATTCGCTGCTAGTATTAGTGGATAGAAATGGTGTGCCTGCGCGTAAGGCACGTAAGGGAAATGAATGCAACACAATTATAGTAATCAGTCATTAGCGAACACTGTAGTTCATTATTAATAATTATGTATAACAGGATATTGTAAAAATTAAGTTACAAAATTTTTATTAAAATGTTTCTTCCATACTGTTATATTGGCTGGGCCGTGAGTTTAACATGCTTGGTTTAGAATGAAAACATGCTGAAGAAAACTTCCTTATCAATTAAGTATATTACCTTAAAAAGTGTTATCAAAGCTAAACTTTGAACCTAGCCAGTTTTGCTCAGTGGACAGAGCGTCAGCCCATGGGCTGAAGGGTTCTGGGTTCAATTCCAGTCAAAGGGCATGTATCTCAGCCCTGGTCGGGTCTCATGTAGGAGGCAACCAATCAATATGTCTCTCTCACATCGATGTTTCTCTCTCTGTCTCTTCCCTCCCTTCCACTCTCTTTAAAAATCCTTATCCTTGGGTAAAGATTAACAACACCAAAAAGTAAGCTCTGAAACATGTCTTAGAAAGATGCTGCTTTGTACATTTATTGAAATTATGTTAAAAACAATGCTACTACTAGCAATTGTGACAATGAAAATAATTTATTTTTAAAATTATATTCATGGGTTTTCTCTAATTATAAAAAGGCCCTTCATTAAAAAAAACCTGGGAAATAAAACCTTTTAAAAGAACAAAATTTAAGGACTATACCACCAACCACCTCAACTAACGTCATAATTTGTCTTTCCAGAAAATATCCTATATGATAAAGAGGTAATATACAAATTAACCCTCACGCCTTTACAAGATGGCTGTCTATGACCAGGCCGGCAGGGGGGTTAGTGAGGGGCGGGGGGGGGGGGGCAGTTGGGGGCGACTAGGCTGGTGGGGGGGGGGCAGTTGGGGGTGACCAGGCCAGCAGGGGAGGCAGTAAGGGGTGACCAGGCCAGCAGGGAGGGGGCAGTTGGGGGCAACCTGGCCGGCAGCAGGGGGCAGTTAGGGGCAACCAGGCAGGCAGGCAGGTGAGCAATTAGGAGCCAGCGGTCCAGGATTGTGAGAGAGATATCCGACTGCCAGTTTAGGCCTGATCCCAGGGACATCCGTCGAGGGGTCCCGGATTGGAGAGGGGCCAGGCTGGGATGAGGGGACACTCCCCCTCCCCAATGCACGAATTTCGTGCACCAGGCCTCTAATTTAAAATAAGGCATTTTATACCTACTTCTCTACCCAATAATGGTTCCTCACCACTACTAAAAAAATGTGTGTTCCTTGAATCAAAATATATACGTGTGTTAGAAAAGATAGTGAACTATGGCTTCTGCTGTCAAAGGAATACATGAAACAATCAGAATTGTATGTTTAGCACACCCAACGGATTTTTTTTTAAGTCTTTGCATTTCTTACCTGGTTATTTTCTTCATCATCGAATACAAAATCTTGCTGCATAACTTCATTGTCTAAATTAGTGCTGGCCACAGGTTCTGAGCAGTCTCTGCTTCTTTCACTGGCATTAATAATATCATCAGCAATATCAACCCTAGAAATGATGATTAAAAAATCAGATCAGGTCAAATGTTGACTATGTAATGCCTTTAAAATAAACAATGATCTGAAACTTTTACTTATTAAAGAAAATACACCCTTTTCATAAAAATCCACTCTCTCTTTATCCTGCCAAGTTTCATTAAATGCACTAAGTTTATTTTTGTCTCTCCAAGGGATGTTGTAAGGAATCTACCTTGTTTGTTAACTCTTTTGAAAAAATGAATGGTGCCCTGGCAGGTGTGTTCATTTGGTAGGAGTGTTGTTTCATGCACCAAAAGGTCACAGATTCAATTTCTGGTCAGGGCACATACCTAGGTTGTAGGTCCTATCCCCAGCCCCAGAAGCAATGAATCGATGTTTCTCTCCCTTTCTCTCTACCTCCTTTCCCCTCTCTCTAAAAATCAATGAAAATGTCCTCACATGAGGATTTTTTTAAAAAAAAAAACAAGATGGCTTTAAAACTCATTTATGTACTAAAATAACAATTTTCCTTAAAAATATCCACTCTCAATCATAATAATGACCTATTTGTTTAATTAAAATACAAATTTAGCCCTAGCCAGTTTAGCTCAGTGGATAGAGCATCGGCCTGCAGATTGAAGGGTCCCAGGTTTGATTCCAGCCAAGGGCATATGCCCAGCCCAGGTTGCGGGCTTGATCCCCAATAGGGCATATGCAGGAGGCAGTCAATCAATGATTCTCATCATTGACATTTCTCTCTCTCCTCTCTCTCTCTCTCTCTCTCTCTCTCTCCCCACCCCCCCCCCCGCCTCTCCCTTCCTCTCTGAAATCAATAAAGATGTATTTTTTAAAAATAAAAATAATAAATAATACAAATCTAGCACTAGACACCATAGTGTCCAACACTTTATCAAGTACAACAGGAATAGCTTCCTACTGCAGATTTCCCATCTTACATAATTTAGAATATACAAAACTCTGCAGGTTTTTGTTTACAAAGACAATACCACTACTGAGAGAAAATGAGTGGTAAAAATAAGAATACTGTCCCCAGTTGTAGAAATAAGAATATTGTCTAAGCATGGGCATAGGTTTTCAACATCTCTAGCCAAGCTAAGGGCAAACTCTAAGGAACCTGCTTATATTACATCTTTTGAAACATTTTCCCACTTTTTCCAACTTTTAAATACTGCTTTTTCCCTTCATATTCAGCCCAAATACTCCCTATAGATCCAGTTCTATCAATTTTTTTGTTTTTTTCCTTAATCCTCACCAGAGAATATTTTTCCATTGATTTTTAGGGAGTCTGGAAGAGAGAAAGTAAGACAGAGAAACACATCGATTGGTTGCCTCCTGCACAAGCCCCAGGCAGAGCCCAGGCCAGAGAAAAGCCTGCAACCTTTACCGTACCCTTTACCAGAATCAAACCCAGGACCCTTTAGTCTGCAGGCCAATGCTCTATCCACTCAACCCAAATGGCTAGGGCAGTTCTATCAGTTCTAATCATGCCTTAAAAGGAGATAAACCAGGGCCATTGCTTAGAGCTGCACAGGCTGGTGATGCCATTCACACAAGCTACATGACACACCTGCAGTTATACAATACTAGAGGCCCAGTGCATGAAAATTCATGCACTGGCAGGGGGGTCCCTCAGCCCGGCCTGCCCCTTCTCAGTCTGGGAGCCCCCACTGGTGAGAGGCGACCCAGTGATCAGGGGAAGGCAATGCCTATCACACCTCTGCTGCTGCCACTGCCAACAGTTCAAGCCTCAGCCAGCCCTGGTTACCTGAACCTCGGGCGGCCCTGGGCAGCCAGGCAGCTGCCATCCGAGGTTTGCCTGCACTTTGGGCCGGCCCTGGGCGGCTGGGCAGCCACCATCCAAGCCTTGCCTGTGCCTCGGGCCAGCCCTGGGCGGCTGGGCAGCCGCCAACCAAGGTAGATTCCTTACAACATCCCATGGAGAGACAAAAATAAACAGTACATTTAATGAAACTTGACAGGATAAAGAGAGAGTGGATTGATGGACATTCATTCATTTAAAGGTAACAAGTCATATTAAAGAATGGAGTTACATCACATAACACAGTACACAGAGGTACTTTAAACTTATGTAAATTCAACTAACAATGGCTACTCTTAAGGAAAAAGCAAAACAAAACAAAAAAACCATGTAAGGAGAAAGGAGGCTAGTGACAGGGGATAACAATTTAAACAGGAAAAGATGATTCTGCTCACCATGTCATTCAATGATCACATGCACCAGGAGTGATATTCTCCTGTCCCTGTAACCTATCAGTCTAGATCTCTGCTTGTTTCTCCTGGTGTGACCCTGTTGCACAGAAGTCTAACTTTTAGAAGTATCCTATCTAATAAAACAGAAACATGGTAATTGGCGTACGACTGCTACCCTTCCCATTGGCTAATCAGCGAGATATGCAAATTAACTGACAGCCAAGATGGCGGTAACCGCCAACAAAGATGGGGGTTAATTTGCATACTCGCAATGATGAGAGGCGAAAGGGGAAGGACTGAAGAATGGTGATCGGCAACCCAGGCGGCAGGCAAGAGTTGGGAGGTGGGCAACAGCTGCCTTTCCCCACCCCCCAGCGGGTGATCGCCATGGGAAAGCTGGGGTTGCCGGCTGGCCTGCGGCCCTGATCGCCATGGCAATCGGAGGGCGGGAGGGCTGGGCGCAGACCAGGCAGCAACCCCGGACCCGCCATGGCGATCGGAGGGCAGGAGGGCCAGAGCGCAGGCCAGGCATCAACCCCGGACCCCCACCATGGCGGTGGAAGGGCGGGAGGGTGGGGTGCAGGCCAGGCAGCAACCCCGGACCCCCGCCATGGCTATCAGAGGGCGGGAGGGCCGGAGTGCAGGCCAGGCATCAACCCCGGACACCCGCCATGGCAATTGAAGGGCGGGAGGGCCTGCGTCCCTCGATCGCCATGGCGATCGGAGGGCGGGAGGGCCATGTTGCAGGCCAGGCAGCAACCCCGGACCCCCACCATTGCGATCGAAGGGCGGGAGGGCAGGGCGCAGGCCAGGCAGCAACCCCGGACCCCCACCATGGCAACTGAAGGGCGGGAGGGCCTGCGCCCCTCGATCGCCATGGCGATCCGAGGGCAGGAGGGCGGGGCGCAGGCCAGGCCACAACCTGGACTCCCAGAACCTCTCTTAAAGGTTCTCTTAAGGCAGTTGGCGAGGGACCTCGGAGAGCCCCAGGGGGTCCTGGTGCCAGCAAAACTGAGACCTGGGGCGGCTCTCCCCAGAAGGTCCAGAGAACAGCCACTGCAGCCTGCCCCCACCCCAGCGCAAGGCATGGCACGCTGGGCCCGAGGACCCACCCCCTCCCAGAGGCCCCTGGCTTGCTCATGCAGCCCTGGTCACATCACCGGAGCAGCTATAAGGCACAGAAAGCACCAGGGACAGCCGCTTGCCCCCACTTGTGTTTGCAAAGACAAGGCCGGAGGGTGTGAGGGCCGGCTCACATCTCCTTCTCCCTCCTTTTGCTCCTCCTCTGGCTGCTTAGCTCGCCCAGCTTCTTATCCAGGCTCCTCTGCAGCTGGGCCCACAGCCATGGGCAGGCAGTGGCTGAGGCAGTAGCGGTGGCTGCAGTGTGGGCAGAGCAGTCCCGGATTACGAGAAGAATGTCCGACTACTGGTTTAGGCCCAATCCCTGTAAACTGGCAGGACATTTTTCAAGGGGTCCCAAATTGGAGAGGGTGCAGGCCAGGCTGAGGAACACACCCTCCCCCGTGCACGAATTTCATGCACCAGGCCACTAGTTTTTCATATAACAGTCTATAAAGGTAGGCTAACTACTTTATCTGATGTTCTGGGAGGAAAACCTGGCTGTGTTGGGCTTAATAAACAATTTCAGAGATTTTTCTATGTACATACGTGTATATATAATACTAGAGACCCGGTGCACAAAATTCGTGCACACATGCGGTCCCTAGGCCTTGTTGGTGGTCAAAGCGTGAGCATCTGGCGTGGAAGGGCAGGTCCCAGCTAACCTCTGGGCCCTGGGCAGCACCTGGACCCCCACTCCCTCCTCCTGAATCATGGCGCCCGAGTCCCCACGCGGAGATGCGGTGAGCATGGTTGGACACCACGGGCTGGGGTGCAGTGTGGGCCTCTGGGCCATCCAGCGGCGCCGCATGGAAGCCAGGCGGGCAGTGCGCTCTTTCCCACCAGGCCTCGCAGATCCGTTCCTGCACAAAACCACAGGGAGCCCATGGTCCTGGCAGCTGTGGTCCTAGCAGCTGTGGCCCAGCTCACCCAGAAGAGGCTGCACGGGTGCGGGGTGGGCTACTTGCAGGCGCCCGGCACCTGAGCAAAGGCTTCCCCAGTGCACGAGCCCTGGCACCCTGGGGGAGGGTAGCAGGGGAGTGAGAGCAAGCTCGGCAGACACCCCGCATTCTCACCACACCTCCATCCCTGTCACCTCTGCCCCCAGGTAGCTGGCGAGAGGTCGCAGCCCCCCGCCCAGGCGCCACAGGAGGTTGGTCGCCACCACCCACCCTCAGTTCCCTGTCACAGCCCGGGGCCCAGCCCTGATCGGGCAATCAGAGCCTACTGGCTAGGGGGGGAGAAACCAGGAGGTCACGTAGCAGGCCCCATCCAGCAATCAGGGCCTGCAAGCTGGGGGCAGCTCCTGCTTTGAGCATCTGCCCCCTGGTGGTCAGTGCATGTCATAGCAATTGGTCATTCCATCATAACGATCACTTAGGTTTTTATATATACTAGTATAGATAATTCACATACAAGTACCTACAAAGTCACTTCTCACACAAAGTTCCAGAAATCTCTAAGATGAGACCCCATTATTTAAATAAAAATAAAGGTTTTTAATGATAATAAAACAATTTTATAACTCATAATAGTAGTAAAATGTTTTTAAAAGTTTCTTACTGGTTATTAGATCCTTCCCCATCACAATTAATACTTCCTGCTTCATTATTACACACCAGACTTTGCTGTTGTAAATTAAGATCCTGATCTATGCTGCTCTGCAGATCAAAAAGGTGCTGTTCCACAGTTGTTCTAATTGTTCTGTCTAAAATGCTACAAAACAGAACACATTTTAGTGAGACACAGTCATCCTAACTGCATATTTCACTACATAAACATAAATGTTAAAAACTATGGTCAGTAAAACAAATTATCATGAATTTTAAATGAGTGAGCTAGAGTGTAAAAAGAAATACATAGAAGGAATACAAAACACAGGATCAAATTCTATAATGAAATCTGCCCAAATAGATATTATACAAATCAATTATAATGTCACTATTACTACAGAGGTGGGAAGGACCAGTGTCAATCATCCTCACTACTATATAGTCACTTAAATAGACTTTTCAAAACTATGTTTATAAACAAAATAATTTACCATGCTCAGTTAAATAAAAGAAAGAAAATGTAAGGGTATTGTTCCTACTTTTTACGTGAAGTCTATTTCTTATTTTTCTTTTTATTTTAAACACTGATTTGTTGTTCCACTTATTTATGCACTCATTGGCTGATTCTTGTATGTTCTCTGAATGGGGACTGAACCTGCAACCTTGGCGTATCGGATGATGCTCTAACCAACTGAGCTTACCTGGTTAGGGCCAAAGTCTACTTCTTCAAGAAAATAATAAAAAAGCTCTAACAGTTTTCAATCTTACTGCCTTCTTCATTTGTTTCTACTACAGTATATAAACTACTAACTAGTTTCACTGTGTTATGTACAATCCTTCCTCTAAAGGAAGCACAATAAATACATGATTTTCATTTCTACAATTCAGCAATATTTTTTTTTAACTTTTAAATTGTCTTCTGTAAGTATACTACTTACTCTGCAGAGGCTGGTAAGATGCTGGTGGGAGATATATGGGCACTGTAATCAAAGAAAGAAATTAGCTATAAAACTTTAAAATACTAAATGACTACAAAATATGCTGAAAACTGCCACATTTGTACTACCTTGAAACAACCAGAAGAGCATGTAGTTAGTTTTATGTTCATCTCTAGCAGAGTAAGACACTAATTTTCTAAAGAAATTAGTTTTTCACACAAAAAAGACCCTTAAAAACATTCTCCCTCGTGTGTGTGTGTGTGTGTGTGTGTGTGTGTGGCGGGGGGAGAGATGATGCCAGCTACTTCATCTGATACTCACTTGGAGAAACACTGACTTATTCCAAATCTTAAGGAGGAAAAGTTGACTACTGCCCAATAAAAGTACCCCATGTAGGATAGTATGATGATCTCAATACTAGCACTATACGCCTTGCCAGAGTAATAGTATTTGCTATTACTCAGAGGATGTTCTCAAGCAACAAACAGAAAAGGCAAAACCTGGCCATTTTTTGCTAAGTGGTTAGTGTCAGCTCTCAGACTGAAGGATTCTGGGTTTGATTCCGGTCAAGGGCATGTACCTTGGTTGCAGGCTCAATCCCCGGCCCTGGTTGGGGCATGTGCAGGAAGCAACCAATGGATGTCTTTCTCATATGGATGTTTCTCTCTCTCTCTGTCTCTCCCTCCCTTCCAATCGCTCTTAAAAAAAAAAAAAATCAGTGGGAAAAAAAAAATCCTCAGGTGAGGATTAACAAAAATAAATAAATTTGTGCTTTTAAAAAGAAATATATGTAAGAGATTGTATTTAAAAAGAAAGATACCTATGTTATAACTAAAATTTTCTTAGCAAGATTACTTTAAGTTTTTCTTGTTTGATTTAGTGGTTGAGTGAATCTACTTCTAGAATAAAATGCTCAAAAGCTAAAGTTCTTTCAAATGAAATACTACCTTGTTGATGCTGTAACACTATTTGCTTCCAGGATGTTTTCAGTCATCCTTAATTGTACCACCTCTGGCATGTCATTTGATTTTTCTGCTCCTTCTTCTGGAAGTTCTTCTATATGTTCCAGCTTTTCATCTTCCTCTTCTTCCTCAGAAAGTTCATTAACCTATATAAAAAGAAACAGAGAATTAAAATTTGATGAAACTAGAAAAGAACAAAAAAGAAAAGAAAATTTCATGAAACTATTAATTAACATTACCTAAGATGTACTATTCTAAGAAAATTTTAAACACAACTCATTTTTCACTTCATTTCCTAGGACCAAAAAAATCAATGGGAAAATATCCTTGGGTAGGGGTTCACACACACACACACACACACACACACACACACAGCTGAAATAAATAAATAGAGACTTAAAAAAAAGAATTGATTATATTAGTTTGGGTAAGAGTAAACATTAAAACCTTAAATAAAAATGCTCTCTCTCACCCCACATTTATCTTCAAAAGTTCTTCTGACTCTCTCCTTGTCAATTTGACCTTCCACTTATCAACAGTCTATTCTGTTCATAAGTTATTCTGAACCTGCCCTATATATATGCAGCTACCTCAATTCCACTTAAATAAAACCCTCATCCATACCTCCATCTCTTCTTTCTTTGACTGCTATAATTCCCCTCTCTAGGGTCTTGTGTAATGCCTGCTCTCCACACTCCAGGTTGTGGAGAATGCTGCTACCTGCCTTCTCAAATGTATACAGAAACATAATTATCACCTACATCTTCAAACCATTCTACTGGATTCACATTCATTTAAGGACCCCATGTCTACTGACTCTGGGCCATTTTTCAAACACACCCTATTCATCATATCCAGTCCTCTCTCTCATACTATTACTAAAAATATCTACTACGTTAAAAGATTCTAACAGCCAAATAGTTAGATTAATAGGGTGAAATTCAAAAAGAAGAGAACACTAGACAAACTTGCTTCAAAAGTTACAAACAAGAGTTAAAAAATTACTTGCAACCTAAACTTACTCTAATGCTTCTCATTAATGTCAATGATTGCACTGCTATACTGAGTTGCTACTTTAACTAAGAAACACTTTATTTGCTTAAGAGTTTGCATGAACTTTGTATTGAATCTTTCCCTCTACCTTCTACTTCTCACCCTCTGCCTACATTCCTCTATGCTAGCAATTCTTCAACCACACACACACACACACACACACACACACACACACACAAAACCACTATTCTTACAAAATACACAAAGCTTAAGTTAACAGAAGAAAAAACACAAAGAAGAAATAAACATACAAAATCTCTACCATATATTCTGGTTTCAATGCCTTTCCCATATTATCCAAATTGAGGACAAGTTGTTTAAAAAAAATATCACATTCAGCTATTACTTGGATGTAGATGATTCCATATAATAACCAAGAGCATGTCTTCCAATTTAGTACTTAAAAATTCCACCAAAGTTTGTACCAAGCCCTTGAGAGCAATTCTTTTTTAAAAAATTCTTCCTCCAAGTAGAATATGTAAAATATTCTCACCTGTTCAGTAATTGAACTCAAATCATTAGATGAAAAGTCTTCTTCTTCATTTTCAAAAAACTCATAGTAATTTTCCAGAAGTCCAGCCATTATCCTGCTCACTATTTCTTGCTCTTTCAGATCTTCCACATCTGTGTAAATGCTAAGAATAAAAGTCCAAATTGAATTGAGAGTTCTTAAATCAATCACAGGTAAAGTCAGAAGACAACCAATGAGTCATTTCATAATCTTGAGCAATGTCATCATTCTGTGCCTCAGTTTTCCCATCTGTAAACCCTACCTAATTTGTACCCTGTCCAAAAAAATGCTAGGAAGATTAAGCAGCTCTAGTATAAAAAATAATGGTTCATCAAGCAACCTTGGAGAGACAGCATAATGATCCTTGGGAGACAGCATAATGATTCTATTCCACAAACTCGGGGGGGTTTTTTAAACAAAAATTATGAAAAAACTTACTGGAAGACATCTGGACCAAAGACAGCAGCCAAAGAGTTTGCAGACCAAATTTCTTCATGATGTGATGCTACATTGGCTAAAAATCTACACAGAAACTTTAACAAGCTGTAATTAACAGGTGGAAGCTGTTGCAAGAGGAACCTCAACTTTCTTCCAAATTCATCTTCGTTATTATAATCTATAAAACATAATGACAGGTGTTTTTAATGAAGCAAAAGCAAAGCTCAAATACTGTGCCAGGTTCACATTACTCCACCCACATCACCTTTTTTCTGTAACAATTCAAAACCTCTTCACTTCCTCTACTAGAGCCAAATGCCCTCAGGCTTTGCATTTTACTTATTAAGTAGAAAAGAGGAGTGAAGAAGGAACTCAACTCCTCAATTGCTGGAGGATGTTTTCCTCATCTATTACTCACTGGCCCCAATTCTCTATTTTTTTTTAATTCTCATCATATTGTCTCTTGCATGACTGTACCTGTATTTCCAAACTAGTGTCAACTCTAAGTCAAAATACACTAGCCAATACCAGTCAAGTACTAGTGAGCAAAGAGAAGCAATTTAACCCTAGCTGGTTTGGCTCTGCGGATAGAGCGTCAGCCTGCGGACTGAAGGGTTCCGGGTTCTATTTTGGTCAAGGGCACATGCCCAGATTGCAGGCGCAATGCACACAGGAGGCAGTCGATCAATGATTATCTCTCTCCCTCTCTCTCTCTCCATCTCCTTTTCTTTCTGAAATAAATAAAAATATTTTTATTTTAAAAAAAGAGAGAAGCAATCTAACCTGATAATAATGTCATACTTTTCGACTTGAACGAATGGGAAAACAAAGGAGTGACTTTCTTCTGCCTTGACATCCCAAAATGAACAATTAACTTTGGCAATACTAATAGAACTAAATAAAAAGGAATTCCATTTCTCATGTGTTTTTCTCCTCTAAGCTGGTGTTGGTTTCTGTTATGCAAGTGAGTTTTCAACTAACAGAAGTAGGCCTTGTGTTTATCATGTCAAACATGCCAGGGTTGCAGGCTTGATCCCCAATGTGGGGCGTGCAAGATGGTTCTCTCTCATCATTAATGTTTCTGTTTCTCTCTCCCTGTCCCTTACTCTATGAAATCAATAAATATTTTTTAAAGTAAGTAAAAATAAACCCAATTTTTAAAAATATTTTTCTTCAAGTTCTTAATACTAATTTTAAAATTCTTGGTTGAAAAACTCTTACTAGGTTGTGGTCATGACACTGACCATCTGTGAAAATAACACATGTCCAAGAAGTTTGTCAGCAAGGGCGACAGTCACATAAGTTTCACTTAAAATGTGAAGTGCAAGCAATAACAATTCTATATTTTGTAATATTATCACTGTCCCCATTCAAACACACATGTACTTTGATTTTATATTTGGATGGAACAGTGCCTGAATTAATGTTTTTTAAACAACCATGCCTTACTGGTGGAAAATTTTAAACTAAGCATTTAGCAAAAAAGGATTATTTAGAAAATCACGTTTATCAATTCAAAAAATACATGCAAGTAATATTATCAATATGATGGCTCTAGCAACACTGACAAATTCTATCTAACATCCTCTCTACTTTTGTAGCACTTACCATCTAACATACCCACATATTTATTTGGTTTACCATCTATTTTCCTCTCTCTCCCTTCATGACCTTTAAATTTTAGCTGATAAGACATTTTTATTCTGTTTTGTTCACTGCTGCATTCCCAGAATCTATAACAGTGCCTAGCATATAGCAGGTGTTCAATAAATATTAGTTGAATAAGCTGAACAATTACACAATCACAGAAAAAAGATTCCCAACTACTAAAACATTTGATTGGGTGGCAAGAATGTAGGCAAGAATGTTTTTACACAGTATTGAAATAAATACACAATCATGTTGCTCTTCTTTTGTCTGTGTACATTTTTACTACACACAAATATTTATACCTGTCAGGCTGCTTCTAAAGTTTTCAAATAAGGCAGAGAAGCATTTTTTTTTTCATCTATATCTATACACACACACACACACACACATAAATTACAAACCCGCTTATATTTATTTCCTTTTGAGTGTACTTCCTACACATACATCAGGGTGGGGAACCTTTTTTCTGCCAAGGACCATTTGAATATTTATAATATCATTCTCGGTCTATACAAAACTATCAACTTAAAAATTAGCCTGCTAGCCGAAACCGATTTGGCTCAGTGGATAGAGCGTCGGCCTGCGGACTGGGGAGTCCCAGGTTCGATTCCAGTCAATGGCATGTACCTGGGTTGCGGGCACATCCCCAGTAGGAGATGTGCAGGAGGCAGCTGATCGATGTTTCTCTCTCATCGATGTTTCTAACTCTCTCTCTCTCTCTCCCTTTCTCTCTGTAAAAAATCAATAAAATATTAAAAAAAAAAATTAGCCTGCTATATTTGGTCAAACATTTAATTAACTCATCCCTAATGCCTTGGCAGAGCCAGACCAGATGATTTCATGGGCCGGACATTCCCCACCCCTGGTATATATCTAAGAAGTATCCCTTGACTAGCAATTCTTTCAAGCATCATTCACAAAACTGGGGACTGTGATTTCTATCAAAACATAATGTATAAGTAGTTGGACAAACCATCAAGGTCTAAACCAGTAGCTGACAAAATTTGAAAATCAAAAATCAATAGAATGGTTATCATGACTTGGGAGAGAGGGGCACTAGAATAAAGGCTGCCATATATATGATGTACATATATATACACATATATACCCACATATACATATACACACACACACACACACACACATATACACATATATGTATATACACTTTTTTTTTTTAAAGAATGCCCTGGCCAGCATAGCTCAGTGGATGAGCATCAACCTATGAATCAGGAGGGCTTGGTTCAATTCCCAGTCAGGGCATATGCTTTGATCCCCAGTGTGAGGCATGCAGGAGGCAGCCAATCAATGATTCTCTCTTATCATTGATGTTTCTCTCTCTCTCCCTCCTTTCCTCTCTGAAATCAAAAAACATATATATTTTTAAAAATGGTCAAAAGACAAACGAAATAAAATAGATTTTATTACAACAGAAATGCCAATATCACCTCAATTACTGCCACACCCATCTGCATAGCTATTAAAGAAATGGATGTGTATGTGGTTGCATGTGTACGCATATACACACATGCTAATAGTTATGTAAATAGGGAATGGAAGGGAATGGTAGATTTCTCATACTGTAACACTGGAAGACTTATTAGCCACAAGCATTTTTGCACACCTTAAAAATTAGAGGCATATTGTAATTCCATGAATGATAGATAACACAGTACACTAGAGGCCCAGTGCACGAAATCCATGCACTTGGGGGGGGGGGGCGGGTCGTGGGTGTCCCTCAGCCTGGCCTGCACCCTCTTGCAATCCAGGACCCCTCAAGTAGGGTCCCTAGGCCTGGTGGTGATCAGGGCCTATCAGGGCCCCCCCCCCCCCCCCCCCCGCTGCCGGCAGCTGGCCCCATCCCCGCCGCTGCCACTGCTTGCCATCTATGCAGCACTGCGCCCCCTCCCCCTCCCCCAGTCACCTCCCTCTGCGGTCAACAGGCATGGGCTGCAATTGCTTGGCCGGCCTGGGTCTCCCTCTGCAGGGCGATTGCACACCCTCCACAGTGTCGCTGGCCGGTGGCCTAGGCCTCCCTCTGTGGGGTGATCGATCACAGGGCCCCCAGATCAATCGCCCACAGAGGGAGGCCCCGCCCACCGGCCACAGCACCCACCGCAGCACTGCCAGCTGGGTGGCCTGGGCCTCCCTCTGTGGGAAAATCATGGGGCGATGGCGGGGCCCCCCGACCAATCACACTGCACCCGCCTTGGCTGGCCTGGCGCCAGTGCATGTCATAGCATGATCATCCAGAAGGTCGTCCAGTCATTCTGCTGTTTGGTCATTCAATCGATTTGCACATTATGCTTTTATTATTATAAACTAGAGGCCCACTGCACGAAATTCGTGCACTGGAGGGGGTTGTCCCTCAGCCCAGCCTGCACCCTCTCCAATCTGGGACCCCTCAGTACAGTGGTCGGCAAACTGTGGCTCGCGAGCCACATGCGGCTCTTTGGCCCCTTCAGTGTGGCTCTTCCACAAAATACCAACTTCTGTGCATGGGCCACGAAGTTTCAATCGCACCGTACGTGTGCGCCCGCACATGGTATTTTGTGATCCCCCATAGGGATCGGGCCTAAACCGGCAGTTGGACATCCCTCTCACAATCCAGGACTGCTGGCTCCCAACCGTTCACCTGCCTGCCTGCCTGATTGCCCCTAACTGCTTCTGCCTGTCAGCCTGATCACTCCCTAACCACTCCCCTGCCAGCATGATCAACGCCAAATTGCTCCCCTGACAGCCCAGTTTCCCCCAACTGCCCTCCCCTGCCAGCCCGGTCACCCCCAACTGCCATCCCCTGGCAGGCCCGGTCCCCCCCCAAATGCCCTCCCCTGCAGGCCCAGTCGCCCCTAACTGCATTCCCCTGCCAGCCCAACTGCCCCCAACTGTCCTACCCTGCCGGCCCGGCCGCCCTCAATTGCCCTCCCCTGCAGGCCTGGTCACCCCTAACTGCCTTCCCCTGCTGGCCTAATCGCCCACAACTGCCCTCACCTGCCAGCCATCTTATGGTGGCCATCTTGTGACCACATGGGGGTGCCGATCATGTACAAGGGTGTGACGATCAATATGCATATTACCTCTTTATTATATAGGATGTTGCTGTCATACTTTAAATGAATACTGATTAAAATGACAATCCTAGTGACAAACAGCTTCTAAAGTCTCAATGAGTCAATGACTATATTACCATTAAATTTCATTCCAATTTTTCTTTTATAAATTTTCATTCAAGGCTGAATATTATCTGATTCTTGAAACTTTAAAGACTTGTCTACAATTCAGCTAAAACAGGGAACATAAAACCCTATCACTATAAAGCAAAAATGGCTCTAAAGTCATAAAAAGAGCTCTAACACATCAGTTTCACCATATTTAATGGATGTAAAATGCTCATTACGTAACTTAAGGTAAACCTGGGGGAAAAACCTACAAAAAGGTGAAGAAATTAATTCTGAAATTAAAAATTATTTTAAAGGTAAATATTTGCTGGGGGAATAAAGTTATACTTTGAGAAAAGGTGACATTATCGATGACACTTCATTTTGAAACATGTTTTTTGATCCAGGTGGCACAATAAAAGAACAAAATTTAATCAGCTAACTATTCCTGAATATAGCAAGTTCAAAGTAAGCCCCATCATCTAGCTGTAAAAAATAAAACGTATGTAAGAGGGCCATAAAATATAATTGTAATGAACTTTATACATAAATCAGAGGCATCCAGTAATTTAGGCTCATAAGTGCTTAAAATTTAAGAAATAAAATGGAGAGCTATCCCAAAATGAAATCCTCCTTTCCTGACCACATACTGCTTAAGGATACACACAAGCTTATTATAAAACGAGAGGCCTGGTGCACAAAATTCGTGTACTTGGGGGTGTGGGGGTGTCCCTCAGCCCGGCCTGTGCCCCCTTATAGTCTGGGAGCCCCCAGGAGATGTCCAACTGATGGCTTAGGCCCACTCCCTATGTCAATCAGGCATCCTTAGCGCTGCCGCGAAGCGGGCGAGGCTCCCACCACTGTTTTTGCACTCGCCATCTGTGAGCCCAGCTTCTGGTCTTCTGGCTGAGTGGCACGCCCCCTGTGGGAGTACAATGACCACCAGGAGGCAGCTCTTGCATTGAGTGTCTGCCCCCTCGTGGTCAGTGCACGTCATAGAGACTGGTTGTTCTGCCATTCGGTCGATTTGCACATTAGCCTTTTATTATATAGGACTAATGGCCTGGTGCATGAAATTGGTGCACATTAAAAGGTAATTAATTAGAGGAAATATTTTAGGGTCCAAGGTGCAGGGGAATGGGATTCTTGGTTGGCAGGCCACTGACAGCAAGCTGACCAACGGCTGATTCTGCAAGAAATGGGGCTCCCTCCTCCCTCCTATCAGGGTCCAGTTTGAAGGCCAGCCACGCCCCCGATTGTGTGAGACCCAGAGTTCCACCGCACCCCAGCCAGAGCACAGAGCTCCCTCCCACCATGCCGAGACCCATCAAATTTATCCGAACTGCCCCTCCTGCAGGCCTGGTCACCCCCAAGTGCCCTTCCCCACCGGACTGGTCATCCCCAACTGCCCCTCCTTGCCAGCCTTGTCGCCCCTCACTGCCCCCCCTGCCGACCTAGTCACCCCATGCAGCCTGCTGTTTAGTCATTTGGTTGTCCCTCACTGTCCCCCCCCTGCCAGCCTGGTTTCCCCACGCAGCCTGCTGTTTGGTCGTCCATGTGGTTGTTTCGGTTGTGACGGCCCCTGGCTTTTTATATATTAGGATGTCCTGCATTCAGGAAGTATTTGTAATTTCTTTTTTAAAATTTTTCCATCACCTTTTATTGCCTCTATGCCCTCTACCACCTCTATCCATCCCCCGCAATTACCACACTATTATCTGTGTCCATGAGTTCTTTTTTTTCTTTTTTGCTCAATCCCTCCATCCGCCCATCCCTCCCCCCACACCCAAGCCATCTGCCTGCTATCTATGAGTCTGTCTCTATTTTGCTTGGTAGTTCTTCATTAAATTCCACGTGAGTGAAATCATATGGTATTTGTCTTTCTCTGACTGGCTTATTTCACTTAGCATAACGTTCTCCAGGTTCATCCATGCTGTCACAAAGGGTAATATTTTCTTCCTTTTTACAGCAGAGAAGTATTCCATTGAGTAAATGTACCACAGCTTTTTTTATCCACTCATCTAGTATTTATAATTTCTTTTGTTTTGTTTTTTGTTTTCTTAATCTTCATCCAATGATATTTTTCCATTGATTTTTGGGGCAAATAGAAGAGAGGGGAAGACAGAAACATCGATGTGAGAGAAACACACTGATGGGTTGCCTCCTGTATGCACCCCGACCAGGGCCCGGGCCAGGGAAAAGCCTGCAACCAAGGTACATGCCCTTGACTAGGATCGAACCCAGGACCCTTTGGTCCACAGGCTGACGCTCTATCTACTGAGCCAAACCAGCTAGGACTATAATTTCTTAACATCACAGAATTTCTGTAGAAGCTCCAATTCAAAGAAATAGAGAGATTCCATTACACAAAGAGAAAAGCCAGAAAAAAATAATTTAAATATTCAACAAATGTATAATATTATATGCCATCTTCATAAAGTTTCCTGTATAATCAAACATATCACTCATTATGTACACATGAATACCACTTGGCTCTAGGAACACAAGAATTTCCTCACTTCTTGGTTCTTTTACCTTTCTGCCTGTCACTACCTTTACTTTTCTTGTCCCTATTCCTTTCCAGCTGGGCCCTACTTTTATTCACCACCAAAAAACTAACCCAACAAGAACAAATTTTTTTTCTTTATTTAGCTTGGAGCCTGATGTACAATTTGATATTGTCTTTCTTTCAGGCCAAGAACAAGCTTTAAATATATTTTAAACCTAGAATCAAAGTTGTCTTCTGATTTTTGCTAGAAAGTTCTATCAAACCAGGGATAAATATCCTGTAATAACATCACCACTAAGCAACACCACTGGCTACTCTGCTACACAAATCACCTTAAATATATTTTTTCTTTCTTCTTTCCCTATCCTCTTACTTCTTGTTCTTATATCCTGCCTTTCCTCCTTTTAAACCTATTTCTTAGACCAATTATAAAAAGTAAATATACCACAGGAATCTGGTAAGTTGCCATTCTTGACTAGACCAAACAGCCCCAAAAAGCCTATGTCCCCGAAATGGACACATAAAAAATGAATCTCAGAACTACTATAATTACTGCTTACACATCAAGATTTCTAAAGGTAAGGAGTTTGAAATTAATGTTAAATGACTGATAAGAATCAAATTTTGTTACCTTGAGAAAGCTGCATCAAGTGAATATGCAAACTGCCAGGGATAACAGGTTCAGGAAGTTCTTGAAGGAAAAACCTAAGAAGACTAATAGCTGAGGGAACATCTGCTTCCTTAACCAAATCCACTTCTTCTCCACTGTCGTATCTCTGCCGAAGCCACTCCACTGTCTCAGCATTTCCATTGACTTGAAAAAGTCCTTGTTGCTCCAGACCTCCTACATTAGTTCAAGGCAAAATTAAATAAGCTTCAACTTCGATTACTTGGTCGTATATTCTCCACTCAACTTAAAATATTCAGACTTTTAGAAAGCCATTCTTAGCTCCCCTGACTGGGCTAAACACCTTCAAATTACACACCTAGAAACATACTAACTCTGTCTGTCCTGAGGGATATTCTATTTTATCCCACCCCCCTATTTTTTTAATATATTTTTATTGATTTCAGAGAGGAAAAGAGAGGAAGAGATAGAAACATCAATGATGAAAGAGAATCATTGATCGACTGCCTCCTGCACGCTCCCTAGTGGGGATCAAGCTCCCAACCCAGGCATGTGCCCTAATCTCCTGATTCATAGGTCAAAGCTCAATCACTGAGCCACACCGGTCGGGCTATCCCACCCCATTATCCATTAAAAATACTCCTAATATCTCCCCCACACTAAAATGCTCTACATTGGGCATTTCTGAGTATAAAACACACTAAAACGTAAAAAAAGAATTTCTATTGTTTTTCCTCATTATATTTTGGACTTTCCATGCTAAAAAAAAAAAAAAAATCCAAGATCAAAAAGGGACAAGTAGTGCTTATTAAAACAAAGGCTAGCCCTCAAAGTAAGGAAATGTATACCATGTTCCTCAATATAGTCCACAACGTGGCGGACTATGAATGGAACCTCATTGTCTGGATGTCCTCCCTGCTGCAGCTCATCAAGTGGAATTCCAAATATTTTGTTAGCAAGAACGGAGTTGCAGTTACTCAAGGAAGGGGAGGAGCTCTTCCTCATATCTTTTTTGCAGCCAGAAATCAAAGCTGTCTTTTCTGCCAAATGAAAAACAACAAAAAAAGGCTATAATGATTAACAGGTGGCAATATGACTAAATACATTGAAGAAAAGGCTTTACACCTCAGTGTGTTCTCACCTATTAAATATGTTTCAGTTATCAGGCCCACACTAGTATGTTCTACAAATAAAGTTCAATATAATGACCTAAGCATTTTCTCTACTATGTAGGGTTAGGTCTAAATACTCCATTTAACACTTGCATATTTATCAAACAATGGCAAAGTTGATCATTAAACTTAGCAAAGGACATTAATGTCCTAAAGATGAATTAAAGGGCAAATCTGGCTCAAAGAAGACCTTTACTGACCAAGCTTATTAATGACACAGGAAAGAAGCCAAACCCAATCATGTCTGGACTCTGTTATATGAAACTCATCTAACCCCTCTATTCATAAGCACCCAAATGTAAAAGAATCACTTTTACAAGTGTTTCTTTTACAAAAATCACTTTTATGAATAATGGGCTAATAAAAACAAGATTAACCAGTTCTTATTTCTACATGACAGAGCAGCCATAATATGTGTTTATAAACAAAGGAAATTTTTCAGTTCTAGACATCAACTTTCAATGAGAATATTATCAATCCTGTTTCATAATTACTCAAAACAAAAATCTGCACAGCACAGAAGAACTAAGTTATTAGTCTTAACTTTGTAATTGTGATCAGTAAAGAGGCAGTGGGGAAAAATGTTTCTAATATCTGAAGCATCAAAACCAATCCCAAGAAAAATTCATTTTCTAAAATAAACATATTACTATATGTGGGGAAGGAGTATTTTTAAAAGAAGGGGATAAATGGTGATAGATGGAGACTTGACTTGGGGTAGTGAACACACAATACAGTGTACAGATGATGTGTTGTGGGATTGTGTATCTGAAACCTGTACAATTTGGTTAACCAGTGCCACCCCAATAAGTTCAACAAAAAGAAAAAAAAGAGAAAAAAACTTTTTCAAAAGTTAATAATGAACAAAATGATACAAACTGGGCTTTTTTCATCACCCCAGAGAAACAACTCCTTCTGCACTACAAGAGAATAATAACAAAGCAAAAAATTTAATCTGTTCAATACTCTGATTTTTTTTACTATATATATTTTTTATTTATTTCAGAGAGGAAGGGAGAGAGAGATAGAAACATCAATGATGACAGAGAATCATTGACTGACTGCCTCCTGTACACCCCCTACTGGGGATTGAGCCTGCAATCTGGGCAGGAACCTTGACCTCCTGGTTCATAGGTCGATGTTCAACCACTGAGCGACACCGGCCAGGCAATATTCTGAAGTTTTTACAAAAATAAAGTCCAGCCCTAACCAGTTTGGCTCAGTGGATAGAGTGTCAGCCTGCAGACTGAAGGGTCCCAGGTTCAATTCCAATCAAGGGCATGTACCTTGGTTGTGGGCACATCCCCAGTAGGAGTGTGCAGGAGGCAGCTGATTTGATATTTCTCTCTCATCAATGTTTCTAACTCTCTATCCCTCTCCCTTCCTCTCCGTAAAAAAATCAATAAAATATATTGTGAAAATAAATAAATAAATAAAGTCCATATATACAGTGTATTCCCCAAAAAATGTATACACACTTTAACAGCTGATAGCTCAATTTTGAAAATAAAATGTCATTTAATAGACACTGCCTTTATAATTATTTAAAGTGTATACATACATTTTTTGGGACACCCTACAGAATAGATGTACCCACTGGAACAATAAAGTGTCATAACATGACTAGGAAATGAATCCATCCAACATAAAAGAACAGTAGACATTAACTTAGGGACAGCAAAATGCCATAAATTTAAAATGTTTTAGATACATAAGATCCATTCTTCAATACATCTGGTACCAGCTAATGACTACAAAACCTCAAATTAATAATCAAATAGCAGTAATACTAGGTAAACTCCAAAATCTCTGTGGATAATTACCATTTTGAAAAACTTACCTTTGAGTACTTAAACACCTAAGTTTAAAAAACGAATTCTGCACCAGCTATCCTCACTGAGCAAGCATTCTTTTGTCATTTATGGCTGTTTGAGATTATGGCAGAAGATCAGCCTGTAGTTCCTCATTGAAGAAACGCAGAATTCGATCAGTACTTCAGCAATTAATCTAGAAGAAGAAAAAAAAAATTCTTTTAATTTCCTATAACATCTTTAACTGTGAGAAGGGACTAGAATAAGCAGTGAGGTTCATTTAGGAAGATTCCTATACTGAAAGGCATTCTTCTGCCTAAAAAAAAAAATCAATCTGTGACCTATTTAGGGGCAAAATCTTGCACAAAGTTTAAAAGTATGATGGCTAACTAGGATAAGAATCTTTCTGCCAAAAATAAATAACGGAACTGCACAAGAGAATCTTTGGCAGTACACATTTTCAAAGATTATGCTATTCAAATAATTCATTTTCCTCAATGGACCCACATTTGCATAGACACCCCACCCAGTTCCATTCCATCCATATATACTCAGAACAAAGCATGGAAACATTTTCAGATCAAAGAATGAAAGATAATTTTAAGCTTGAAACTTCACTTACATACTTTATTCTTTTCTTTGTATACAACAAACATTTTGTTAGCAAGAACTAGTTATCTGAGCTTTCTGATTTGGAGAGGTAATAGTACATGTTGGAAAAGATCAGTTAACAGAACCAGAAGGGCATGCAATCAAATATCAACTCCACCATTCTGTAGATGTGACCCTGAACAACTTCCATGTCTCTAAGCCTAGGTTTCCTTATATAAAATAATACCTACACACTTGTTAAAGTTTAACTGAGATAATGCATGCATGTAATACATAGAGAATTAGTTTCCATTCTCTTTTTTGAATAATATTAAATATTAGCAAACAGGCTGGAGAGAGAGGGGAAGAAGGGAAAAACCTGTTTGGCAATGTTTAATCACCTGTGAATTCTCATAATCTATTTTAAAATCTTTTAATAAGCTCAGTAAACTACACTGAAGCATTCTGCTTAAGAAAAGTTCAGGGTTCAATATTTATAAGGGATGTGTTACTCCTCCTCAGATATGAAATCTGAAGATGCTCAAGTCTCTATATAAAACTAGAGGCCCGGTGCACAAAATTCCTGCACAGGTGCAGTCCCTAGGCCTGGCTGGTGATCAAAGGCAGGTGTCTGGCATGGAAGGGCAGGTCCCAGCTCTGGGCCCTGGGCAACACCTGGGCCGCCGGGGCCCCACACGCCCCCCTCTGCCCAAGTCATGGCACCCAAGTCCCCACGCAGAGATGTGGTGAGTGCAACCGAATGCCACGGGCCAGGGCACAGCGTGGGCCTCTGGGCCTCCCAGTGGCACCCCATGGAAGCTGCAGGCCTCGCATACTGGCTCCTGCATGAACCCACGGGGAGCCCAACCATGCTGGGGTCCACCCCAGCAGGTCCAGAGGTCCCCAAAGGTGTGGACAGAGTCGGCGAAGAAGGAATGACACAGAGGCAGCATTCAGTTGATCAGCATGGTTGGGTTCTCTTGCCTGGTTCTACTGCCAGGTTCTGTAGGTTCTCCAGCCAGGTTCTGTAGCCAGGTTCTGTCCAAGATCTTTTGCCATGTTCTCTCGCTAGGTTCTGTCGCTAGGTTGTGTGGCCAGTTTCTGTCCAGGATCTTTTGCCACGTTCTCTCCAGCGAAGTTCTTCTGTCTCTAGGTTCTGTGTAGGTTCTGTGTCTAGGTTCTGTGTCCTGTTGTCTTGTTACATCTGTATTTATACCAGTTGATTCCAATCCTATCAATCTCTATTCCAAAGGTTAGGGTGTTTCTTATCTCCATTCCAGGGAGTAAAGATTATGTAGCTTAAGCATGACTGTTCGTAGTTAAAGTGATTAATTACCCGCCTGGCACTTAGTTAAGGGGTTTTATTCCCTCCCTAACTTCAGGGGAAAATCCCTACCTGGGGAAACAACCTTTCTCAGAGAGGTGACCTTGGTGAAAACACATAGTGCCAAGAAGGTGAGCAAACATATTAAGAACAGTATGCCATATATGCCAGGTCCCTTGAAACAGCAAGGATGGACCGGCTCCCGGCACAACCAGCCCCTGCAGTCCCAGTGGCTGTGGCCTGGCTCACCCAGAAGAGGCAATGCAGGTGTGGGGCGGGCTCCTCGTGGTGCCTGGCACCTAAGCACGGGGCTTCCCCAGTATGAGCCCTGGTGTTCCTGGGGAGGGTAGCAGGGGGAGTGAGAGCAAGTTTGGCTGACACCCCGCATTCTCACTGCACCTCCGTCCCCATCACCCCCCCCCCAAGGTTGCTGGTGACAGGTCGCAGCCCCCCGCCCAGGTGCCACACGAGGTTGGTCGCCACCACCCAACCCCAGTTCCCCGTCCCAGCCTGGGGCCAGCCCTGATCAGCAATCAGGGCCTGCCAGCCACTGGTCACCGTCTGCAGGGCAATCAGCGGGGTGAGAGAGGGCCCCCACTCGCACCCGCCTTGGCCTGGCGCTGCCCGCACACCTGCTCCACGATCCTGCTGCAGTCCCATTCTCGTCAGGGCCCATCAGGGCCGGCAGTGCCTCCACTGCTGCCTGCTGCCAGTGCCATGTCGCCGATGCCCACCATGTTCCATGCTGCCACTTGGTGGTCAGTACATGTCATAGCGAGCGGTTGAACTCCCGGTCAAACAATTTCATATTAGGCTTTTATTATATCCTATCTAATAATAGAGAAACATGGTAATTAACCATAACTTCGCTACCCTTCCCATTGGCTAATCAGGGCGATATGCAAATTAACTGCCAACCAACATGGCGGCCGGCAGCCAGGCAGCTGAAGCGAACAGGAGGTTTGCTTGCTCCAGTGATAGAGGAAGCCAAGGTTCCCCATCTGCCGCTGCCGGCCTCTGAGCTTGCACTCTAAGCAACTATGTTGCAATTATAGAAGCTAAACAAACCCCAGAAACCTGCTGTCAGAGCTAGAGCGAGCAGGACCGTAAGTGTTACAATTATAGAAGCCAAACAAACCCAGATACCTGCTTTCAGCAGCCAAGGTCTCAGAGCTGGAGCCGAGCCTCAGAGCTAAAGCCAGCTCTCAGCTCCAGTGACAGCCATAGAAAGTAAATAAATCCCAGAATAAAAAAAAAAAAAAAAGGAAAAAAGGAGAGTTTGGGAGCTTCAGTCACCCGCCAGCCTGAAAACAACCCTCAGCCCCTCACCCAGACTGGCCAGGCACCCCAGAGGAGACACCACCCTGAAGGGGGTGTGATCAGCCTGAAAACAGCCATCATCCCATCATCCAGGCTGGCCAGGCACACCAGTGGGGACACCAACCCTGAAGGGGGTGTGACCAGCTGCAAACAGCCATCATCCCCTCATCCAGGCTGGCCAGGCACCCAAGCAGGACCTCCACCCTGATCCGGGACACCCTTCAGGGCAAACCAGGCGGCCCCCACCCGTGCACCAGGCCTCTATCCTATATAGTAAAAGGGTAATATGCAAACTGACCCTAACAGCAGAAAGACTGGGAATGACTGGTCACTATGACACACAGTGACCACCAGGGGGCAGACTCTCAATGCAGGAGCTGCCCTCTGGTGATCAGGTCGCTTTCACATGGGAGGAGCTCTCCTCAGCCACAAGCCAGGCTGATGGCTGCCAGTACAGTGGTGGTGGTGGAAGCCTCTCCTACCTCCTCAGCAGCGCTAAGGATGTCTGACTGCAGTTTAGGCCTGCTCCCCGCTGGCAAGTGGACATCCCCCGAGGGCTGCTGGGCTGCCAGAGGGATGTCTGATTGCCATCTTAGGCCCAATCCCCCAGGGAGCAGGCCTAAGCCAGCAGGTGGTCATCCCCTGAGGGGTCCCAGACTGCGAGAGGGCACAGGTCGGGCTGAGGGACCCCCCCATGCCTCCCTCCACCCCGAGTGCACAAATTTTTGTGCACCGGGCCTCTAGTAGGATAATAATACAGTATTTGCATATAAACTATACACATCGTCCCTATAGTTTAAATCATCTCTAGATTACTTATAATACCTAGTACAATGTAAATGCTATGTATATAGTTATCATGCTATACTAGAGGCCCAGTACACAAAATCGTGCATGGGTAGGGTCTCTAGGCCTAGCCTGCGATCAGGGCCATCTTCTGCCCACTCGCCAGTCCCCAGTCCCACCCCGCCGTCATCCCCCGGTTCACCATGGTTCCCCAATCGCAGCATGGCTCCGGTTCCCTGGAGCCTGTGGGCCAGGGGAGGAGGGACCAAGAGGTCGGCCATTCCACCCGCTCACCAGTCCCGCCCCGTCACCACTCACCTGTTCGCCATGGTTCCCCGTTTGCCATGTTGCGATCAGAGCCTGTGGGCCGGGGGGGGGGGGGGGGGGGGGGGGGGGGGGGGGGGGGCAGAGGTGGTCAATGCACCTCATGGCAACTGGTCACGCGGTCATTCTGGTCATTATGCTTATGGTCACTGGCTTTTTATTATATAGGACTGTTTAAGGAATAATGACAAGGGAAAAAGCCTGTACATATTCAGTACCAACCATGACAGGCCTAACTATATAACATGGCAGCAACAAAAAAGCTTTTTTTCTCCTAAATATTTTCCATCCACATCTGGGTTGAATGCCTGAATGAGGGCCCCACAGATACAGAGGGTCAATTATATTTAAGATCCTTTAAAGAAGTTAACTTCAGGGACAAGATGTTTAATGAACTTACAATTCAGGTTGATACATCATGACATAAAGAAAAGGGGGATTTGCTTGATGTACAATAAATGAAGACTCACTGGAGTCTGTCAGAAGCAAATTACATATAATCGCTAAAATAGCTACTCATTTAGTGTCCTTAGTGAAATCAGGAACCAGTTATCTCATCCTGTGTTCTCTACTACTCCGAGCCTCTAACTGAACAATCTGAAAAGCATCTTTCCTAAGGTTACACTGGGTAGGAATCTATGAATTCATCAGTACAGAGATCCTTACTACTAGAAAAACAAAGGCATAAATTTTTCAGCTATTGAGTTTTTCTCCTGAAGAGTACTGACAATGAAGATGAAAACAGGAGCAGCTAATATTAAATGAGCAGTTCCTGTGTGCTAGACAGTTCATGCACTTTACATGTATTAATTGGGTATTATTCTTTTAACCTTTATTTTAATGAGACATTG